AAAAAAATCTATTTCATTTGATCGGAAGAAATATCTGAATATTTTTTTTTCCTACATATATATTTCATAAACAAATGCTTTAAACACTTAAAAATTAAGTCATTTAAAAAAATGATTGTATTTCTTTCCTTGTTATAATATACTAACTACTGATTCATATAATTTTCGAGGATGTTTAGTCATATTCATAAAAAATGAACAAAATCTTTACAGTCAATTGAGCTCAAAGCTTAAAATTCTCTAAAAATTGTTATGCATTTAGAAATAAATATGTAAAAATGAAAAATGATTAATTAATTCGAATTATTAAATGTATAAAATTTATATTTATTTATTTTATAAAAATCAATCACCCTACTCATCATTTTCTTCAGCAATTTCTTCAGGATATTCATTTTCTGCCTCTTCTCCTTCTTCATTTAATTATTCAGGATCTATTCCAAACAAATGAAGATTTTGCTAATAATAATAATTTATATTTACACTAAATATTTCTCTGAATTGATTATTTTCATTTGCTAATTTATCGACTTCATCTTATAATTATTATTTTTCATCACTCATATGTTAATAAAGTTATTTGAAATTTTCAATTAAATCTATAGTTAAAAATAAAATGGCTACCTTCTAATTTATGAATTTCTTCATCTTTAGCTTCTAATTATTATCCTAACTCCTATATAACTTCGTCTTTTTCATTATCTTAGCTTTTTGCTGATTTTTTATTAGATGATTATTATTGTTTTTGCTTAGAACCACTTGCCAATTTGGATTGTAATTCATTAAATGCTTCTTGATTATCTTATAATTATTATTGCAATTATTCTATAATTTAATCTTTCATAGATGATTCTTATTAAAGTTATTCCATCATCTATTAAATCTCTTCCTAAATGAACTTAGATGAATAAATACTAAATTATATTCTTAAGCAATATTTTCTAATTCTTAAGTTTTCTCTTATAATGCTTATTCTAACTTTTTAATTTAATCTGTTTATTATTTTTTAACTCTATTTACTTCATCTTATAAATGTTTGTTTGCTTAACTAAGTTTATTGTTCAAATTTTTATTTTCATCTGTCAATTATTAAATTTTTTATTTATCATCTTTTGATCTTTATTCATAATCTTATTCAACTTTTGATCTAATAAGTGAATTATAAATATCTTACAATTTTTTTTAGAATTCTTTTTCCTTATCTTTAGCTTAAGATAATTCCGCTCTCAATCTTTCTGTTTGTTATTACTCTTCTTTAAGTTAATTAATTAACATTTGAGATCCTCTTTCTTGATCTAAATTGAATTTCTAATTCGATGTATAGGGCCTTTTATTACCTTATATTTATTACTAATCAACTCTTTTATCATTACTATCAATCTTTTTCTCTAAATAGTCATGCTTATTATTAACTCGATTAACATCATATGTTTTAGAATAATCTTATTTTTTAGAATCATTGCTCAAATAATCTTTGGTTGGCACTTGACTAGTTGGTTTGATATCATTTTTTTTGAAAGAATTTCTTTAATCGATTTTCTAAGGAACAGGAACAAAACTCTAGTTTTTTTGATACATTTCTAAATTGTGAATTAAGGTATGATACCCTAATAAGGTATTATTTCTGTTTTGTGTTACTAATCTATTGGTCCAGATCTGTTATGAATTTGGGAATCACATGAGTAACATAATCGAAAAGTCTACCCATATCTACATTAATTGCACTTGATTGTTGCAGGTCTTTATTGACATTTCTAACATTTAACAAAGAGCGATTGCATATTTACTTTAATCCAAATTTTGAAAAATATAAATACTGTATAAGTTATTAATAAAACAAATTTGAATTTTTATTTTCTAATTCAATACATAAATTTATTATGTTTTTAATCTAACTACAAATATACATTTATAAGAGTATTATAATTAAGTTAGTAATGGAATGATTAAATTCTAAAAAATTATAATTGATTCTTTTGCACAAGAAATAAAAAGTTATAAACTATATTATTTTTATAATTAAAAATATTTTTAATATATATATATATATATGATAAATAAAATCAAAGAATACTTATTGAATACACAGCCCGTTGTTAATGCATTAAAAGATCTTAATATATATTCAAATGATAATTAATTTCAATCTCAATAAATGATTTCAAATAGATTAAGATCTTTTTTTGAAAATTAACAAAGTAAGGTATGGTTAGTAAACAATAATTTAAGAAGAAGTTTTTGAAGTAATTGTTTGAAGTGGTATAAAAGGAAAGTGGAGAAGAAGGGAATTTGTAGAGAAAATTTAAAATTTTATTATTGCTTCACATAATCTTAAGTTCATAGGTAGGACGTTCAGAATTAGCAAGAATCTTAATTTCAAAATAATTGTTCATAAAAACTGAAAATACAATAACTTCTAAAATGGATTAAGTGTGTCAACTCTATTATAATTATTTATATAAATTGGCATCTTAAGCTACATTTATAAATGAAGAAGTAATGGATGGAGATTTGCTAATATATTTTACACTATCAAATTAATGTTATATAGGAATGAGTATGTAAAAGAGTGTTGAAAGTATAGATTAATTTGTATCTAATCCATTATTGGGACATGTGATAAGGTTTATCTATTATGATTTACAAGATATTTTTATATTCATTTTGAAAGACATAAAGAGTTTAATTGAAAGTAGAGAGTATATCAAATATAAAAGAGAGTAAATGTTAGAATTATACAAAGAAGTAATGTAAAATATATTATTAAACTGCAGTGTTAAATTCTATAGAAAAAAATGTTGAATTTTTATTGTTTTAATAGACATTTTGAACATTTTTAATAGATAATGCCTCCCTATTCTCTTCCAATAAATCAAGAATCAATAAATTAATTATTAAATAGTACACCAAAGATGCATTCATTATAGTAAATAGAAAATAAGTAGGGAAATCAAATAAAATGTAATTAGCCATAAACATCAAAACAAAAGACATCAATAAAATTTGAATTTGAAGAGAAGAAAAGAAAATAATCAGATTCAACATAATTTTCATTTTCAAATTGAATGTTAATAAATAATAAATTCTTTTTCTGTAATGTACTTTATTTATAATATCATTTTCATTTCTTGGTTTTGGTGGTTGTAGCTTTTTGAGTTTATTATGGAGCTGTCTTAGTTGGAGCAGTTGTTTTAGCTGGAACAGCAGCTTTGACTGGAGCTTAAGCTTTAGTTGTAGGAGCTTATTTAGTAGCAACTTATGCTGATTTAGTTGTTTTAGCATCTTTAGTCTAATAATATAGAGATTAATAAATACTTTAGGTTATTCTTAAGTCTTTTCTTTGATTTCAGATGATGCTTTTCTATGTTTCTTATGTGCCTCATGTACATCATGTGCTAATTTTTTATATGCTTCTAAAGCTTATTTTGCTTTAGTTCTTCTTGCTTATTCAGTCTTCTTTTAAATAGTCTTTCTTCTCAATCTTGATTCAGTAACAAGTCTTTAAATCTTTGTAGCTTTTTATCTCTTCTTTCCATCTTTTGTAGTCCATGTTCTTCTAATAAGATTCTTTTAGACTAGGGCAACACCATCAGTTTTCTTGAATCCAAATAATCTTCTTAATTTAGTTAATCTCTTTGGACCTAATCTTCTTGGAACATTTTAATCTGTAAGTCCAGCAATTTCATTTGCTCCCTTTTTAACAACTTATAAGGCAAGGACTCTAATGTCTTAACCAACAATGCATCCTCTTATTGATTTTCTTTTCATTTCACCATCTTTTCTTGGTCTATAACCTTTATGTCCTTTTCTCATTAAAATTCTAACTCTTCCTTTAAAGAGAACACCTTGTCTCATTGGAAATCCTTATTTATCATTACCACCTGTGATTTTGAATATATATCCTTTAAATTCATCACCAAGGTTATCAGCTTCTACTACTTGACCCATTCTCTTATCGAAGAAAATTGAACTAAGCAATTCTTACATATTATTACCATTTCTTATCATCATCTATTTCGACTGTCTTCTAAGCACCAGTTAAGGGATAGGATATATTGAACTATATTAAGAATATTTTGTATATGTTACCTTCATTAAAATCTTTGGATTTTTTAAATTAGATTTAAAATTATGTGTTTCACAATTTAATATTATCTACAGAGCATCACATCAATTTTAATATATATAATTTTATTACATCAAAGTACAACAATCATAAACATTAATATTCAATTTTCACAATCTTCCATTCTTATCTATTTGCTTTATTTGCACAATAATTACATACAAATTCATATTTCAATTTTTAATCCACCAATATGTAAGATATTAATTCTTTTCTGCATTTTATACATTTAAAATACAAATTTGGACTTTATATTTATTATTCTAATTCAAATTATATCATTTTTGGAATTACTTTAAAATTTGTATGATCTAAAAACATTTCTTCTAAACTTCCTTATATTAATAATCTATGTAAATTTGGATTACATTCTTTTATTTAAATCACTCCATAACTAATTGATTTTTAATCACAATAATAACATTCTCTCATTATATAAGCACAACCATTACAATATCTTACATGTCCACAGGGTATCATTACACTGTCTATTATTGACAACTTACAAAATCTGCATTTACATATAAATTTTCTCTTTGATTCACTTTCCTCATTAAACTATTATTCAAAACCATATGTTGGCATTAATAATCCTGGTTATAATACAATCTTTGGAACTGAACGAATCATACCTATTGCTTAAATTTCACTCTTAAACTATGTAAAACTTATAATATTAGCCCATCTACTAAAACTTAATAATTATCTTTTCATAGAAAATTATAATGTTATTGATACTTTTTTCTAATTCTTTTCAAAAATTATATTTTTCTTCCAATTACAAATTTAATAAAAAAAATCACTACATAAAAGTTATTTTTCTTAAACAGGAAGTTAAGAATAAATTTCAATTTGAATCTCTTCTAAAAGTATTTATGTATAACTTCCTATANTCATTAAAATTCTAACTCTTCCTTTAAAGAGAACACCTTGTCTCATTGGAAATCCTTATTTATCATTACCACCTGTGATTTTGAATATATATCCTTTAAATTCATCACCAAGGTTATCAGCTTCTACTACTTGACCCATTCTCTTATCGAAGAAAATTGAACTAAGCAATTCTTACATATTATTACCATTTCTTATCATCATCTATTTCGACTGTCTTCTAAGCACCAGTTAAGGGATAGGATATATTGAACTATATTAAGAATATTTTGTATATGTTACCTTCATTAAAATCTTTGGATTTTTTAAATTAGATTTAAAATTATGTGTTTCACAATTTAATATTATCTACAGAGCATCACATCAATTTTAATATATATAATTTTATTACATCAAAGTACAACAATCATAAACATTAATATTCAATTTTCACAATCTTCCATTCTTATCTATTTGCTTTATTTGCACAATAATTACATACAAATTCATATTTCAATTTTTAATCCACCAATATGTAAGATATTAATTCTTTTCTGCATTTTATACATTTAAAATACAAATTTGGACTTTATATTTATTATTCTAATTCAAATTATATCATTTTTGGAATTACTTTAAAATTTGTATGATCTAAAAACATTTCTTCTAAACTTCCTTATATTAATAATCTATGTAAATTTGGATTACATTCTTTTATTTAAATCACTCCATAACTAATTGATTTTTAATCACAATAATAACATTCTCTCATTATATAAGCACAACCATTACAATATCTTACATGTCCACAGGGTATCATTACACTGTCTATTATTGACAACTTACAAAATCTGCATTTACATATAAATTTTCTCTTTGATTCACTTTCCTCATTAAACTATTATTCAAAACCATATGTTGGCATTAATAATCCTGGTTATAATACAATCTTTGGAACTGAACGAATCATACCTATTGCTTAAATTTCACTCTTAAACTATGTAAAACTTATAATATTAGCCCATCTACTAAAACTTAATAATTATCTTTTCATAGAAAATTATAATGTTATTGATACTTTTTTCTAATTCTTTTCAAAAATTATATTTTTCTTCCAATTACAAATTTAATAAAAAAAATCACTACATAAAAGTTATTTTTCTTAAACAGGAAGTTAAGAATAAATTTCAATTTGAATCTCTTCTAAAAGTATTTATGTATAACTTCCTATACTACCTTCTTGTAACTATATTTTTTTATCAATTTATATCTGAACTATCATACCTTCTAAAGCTACCGCTATCTCTTTGTTAAATGATATTATCTTCTAAATTAAAATTTCTTCTTTATCAATATACAATTTTTGACCTTTAAAAAGAGCTCCATTTACTATTACTATTTCTGCATTGACACTATCTATAGGATTTGTCACAATAAAATTTGTTTCCAAATATTTTGTCTCCAAATCCATGTTTATAGTATTTTTTTAGATTAATTCAAAACGAAACCTTTCATTAGTTGTATATGTATAATTTGTTTAAACTTTATTTTATTCGCATGCATTAGTTACTTAAAACTCAAGTTTTTTTAAAATTTCTTTAAATTATGCAATTTAATCTTCTGTCTCTAAAACTATTAGCATTTATTCAAACTAAAGCAAAATACATAATATAAGTAATTTTATAGGATTTAAAGGTTTTTGTTTAAATTCCATCTTAAAGGTATCTAAATCATTTTTAGTTAAAAAAAACACAACATTTTTAAAAGGGTACAATTATTAGTAATATTTTGAAATATGCACCGATAATTTAAATCCATTTTCTTATATTTCTGGTATAATAATTCGTGCAAATAGTTTTTCTTTCTTACAATGAAATGCATTGAATTGATCTTTATGGATGATTTTTTCTTCTTGTAAAGCTTATAAATGAGAATTTTTTGATCCTACAAATGCACAATATCTATATTTGCTTTTTTTTTTATTCTTTGTATTCATTATTATTTTAAATTAGTATATTTATTATTGTTTCATAAAAGAAAATTATATATTGTATAATATTTTAATTTCATTATTGTATTTTAGAACAAAATAAAGCTCATTAAATAAATTTTCATTAGTTAGTAAAAATAAAAAAATTATTGAAATTTATCTTGTATTGATTTACATAGGACTCTTTATTTATAAGTATTCTTTAAGTATATTATATATGCATTTATTTATGTTTATAATATTTATAAGGAATAAATGTAAATGTTAGATATTTATATATATTGTTTATGTGGATATTTGTTATAATTAATTTTTGAAATGGGATGTTTTTAATCTAGAAATGAAAAATAGATTGAAGAATAAATGGAATAGGCAGCAATGAAAGAATAAGATAAAAGTAATAAAAATGTGTAGTTTTTAGATAATGACTTAAATTTGGTGAGTTGTTCATGTTCAGAGAGTGTAGTTAGTTAAAATAAATCTACTAAGAAGGTTTCTATAGAAGAATGTCGAAATTCTTTTAATAAAAGTATAGATTTAATGGAGGAAGTAAACAAGAAACTTGAAGCATTTTCAGGAAATGATTCAGATTTATCAGATAGTGAATTAAATTGATTGAATGAAACATATACTGAATGTTGATATAATTAAATACAATTATCATCATCATTGATTTGCTGATTCAATAATCTCTTCATATTTTTTGATGCTTAAGTTGATATTAGTTACTTATAGTGATAAAGCTCCATCAGAATAATTGTTTAACGATTCATAAATTGGTTTAACAATAACTTTTAAGAAACCTGCTTCATTTTTGGCATATTGTACTTGATTATCTAAATTTCTTAAATATGGAGTTTAAGCAATGCCAATAATATCTTCTAATTGAGACTTAAATTAATTAAGTTTAAAAAAATTACTTAAGCTTAAAATTCTTTTCTTAATCTTTCACTCCATGCTCTAGCTACTTAATGTTATTTTGCTGCACCAAAGAAATCTGCTGCATGTGTTAAAAATCCACTTAACAAAAGTTTATTCTCTTCAGTTTCTAATTTTATAATTATAATTATAAAATACCAAATATTTTTGGATCTCCTTTAGATTAACCAAATCTAATTTCAATATCATTTAATAAATTAAAATGATATTGATTATCTGTAGCTAAAATATTATTAACAACATATTTTCTTATTGTTATTTTATCTGTTTTTGGTATTTAACCAAAAAAATCACATTATTTATGTGCTAATATTTTATATGTTACTGCAACATGATGATTTTCCAGTACTGATTTATCATTATATAATAATGCTAATTTAGTTTAAGCATTAACTTAAAATAAATTTGTTGTTCCTGAATGATCTACATCATGACATAATCCAGCAAATGTCATTGCATATCTTTATAAATCTGAAAAATATTAACCAAATTTTTAATGATGACCAAATAAATAACACCCATGCATAACATTAACACCATGAGTAAAATTGTGAAATGGATTAGACTTTTTATTATATTTGTATTTCAAAATTGTCATAAAATTTATAAATTCTTTATTTAGTAATGGATACTATTTTGTATACTCACACATTTAAAATAGGTTAAAAGCAATAATATATTTATTCTTATACATTTTCTTATTCAAAAGATTGAATTCGTAATCCAATAATTTTTATTATAAATTTGAATCTATAGCAATTCTTCGAATTTCAGGATTTTTTACATCTTCTTCATCATATTTATTTAAAAATTGTTATAACTTTTTTGATGCTTATTTCATTGTATAATTTCGATATTTCTCTAAATCTTAATCATGATCTTAATTAGCAGTTTATGTTATTTTTCTTCTATCCTAATCTGGAAGGTACATCACTAATGCTGATTGTCTCAAAAATTGATTTTCCATCATGAGTTATTTAGATTTAAAGGCTAAAGTTGCCTTTCTTATTGTAAGTAAGATTTTTACTTTGCTTCTAAATATCTTAAATAAATCTGCAAGAGGTCTAAAATTAATACAATTTATTTACCTTTTTACTTAAATATTAAATAAAAATACTGAAATTTATTTAATTTATTTTTTAAATCCTCTTTCTATCTTTAATGAAAACTTAAAAAATCCATCATTAAATTCTAAATGATCATTTGGAGAATCAATAATTTCTTTTACTTTTTAAATGATTGTATGATTAGAATCAAATATTTTATAAATTGGATCACCATAATTCATTTCTTTAGGTAAACTATATTTTGATCTAGATTTATAAATAATTAATAATTACACAAATTGATCATGATTCCATTAAACAGTCATATAATAAAGATTAAAGAAATTGTTGAAAAACAAACACATAATCATTTCATTATGTTAAGTAACTTATTAAAATGATTCTAATAAGTCTTTTTTGAGTTTTAATTTTTTTTTAAATTTTTTTATTGATTTTTTAAAAGTACTTTTAATTTTATTAACTAGTTGTAAAGAGAGATTACCCTCTAATTCAATTCCAATTATATCTAGATCACTTGAAAGTAGTATTAATAAATAATTAGTAATAGTTTGTTATTTAGTCAGTTCTTTTTCAAATTAACATAAAAAGTTTTATAAATTAAATTATTGCATAATTTAAACTAAAATTTGAAACATCAATTTATAATTATACAATTCAATAGTTCTAGATACAAGTTATAGTATTTCATTTCTAACAGATTGCATTTTCTTTAATCCAACAATTTAATATCCTTAATAAATTAATGTGATAAATTTATCATAAAGAAAAGTAGCCATAAAGTATTATGAATATGTTTTATTGACATTATCACTAAAAGTTAAAAACAGGACAGCATGTTACGAGATAATATATTATTTAGGAAGATTATGTGTCTTAAGTAAAGCATAATGTTCTGTTTATGTATTATTAAGTTGATGAGCATTTTATTTATGTGCCCAAGAACTAATTTTATATTCTTCCTTAAAGAATTTAAAATCAAAATTATTGGTTAGAATAACACATTGATGTCCTTCTTCGAATTGAATTAGATAAAATTCTTCCACATAAAATTGTTTTAAGATTAATTTTATTAAATCTTTGATTTCTTATAAATGATGCTATGCTTTGAAACATTCTTCATAAATTTCATTCATATTAGTCTAAAATAATTGATATGAAAAATATTGGATACCTTGATGTCTCTATAAAATTCTTTGATTTTTCCTTTAAGTTGTGAGTTAATGCTAACAACAGATTCACTAAATATATAGATAATAGGAATACAAGTAAGATTTTATTATATGTTCACTTTCATTTTTATTGTTAAGAATGATTGAAACTCCAGATAAAAAATCATTTTAAGACAAACCCTTTTCATAATCCATAAATAGAGCTTTCAATTCAGCATTATCATTGATAGCATAATCACATAAACGTGTATATTGATCAGTTGTTATTAATTTCTTATTTTTAAGACTGATAAGTAGAGCAGTTAATCGACTTGATTGAGCTAAATAACTCATATTTTAAATTATATAATTTTTATAAAAAGTTCTGAGAACAACACAAAGATAATCATAATGAAGAATTCTAATAGTAAATATCCATATAACTCATTATTTCTAATTAATATAAATATATAAATTATATAAAATGAAATGAGTTTAACTTAAAACAAATCTATACTTTTCACTACTAAATTTATCTTTCTCGAACTGAATTAATTTTATTAACCAAATTCAATTTCCAATTTCTTGTCTTTGGAGTTAATAATTCATGATCAACTTATTAATAATCACTTAAAATTAATAATGTATAAGATACTGCTTAAATGTAGTTATGAATTACCCTTAAAAAGAAGGAGTTTTAATAATTTGGGTAGTTTTTTATTATGGACTCAAAGGATAAAAGTCAATAGAAGCTCTCTCTTTAGTAAAAAAGATATCAGAATTTGATATGGGATTTCTAAATAATAAATGATTGATATTAATACAATTTAGAATAACTATTTTTAAAATTAGGCAATCTTTCATAGTTCTAATGCCATTTAAATTCTTGATTATAATTAGAATTTCCATTAAGTAGTAATTTTCCAGTTGTAGAATTGGTTGGTGCTTTCATAATTTCAGGTTTTTCAGGTTATTTAAAATTAATGTGATTAGCCTAAAAATAATAAAATTAAAGAACACTTTATATGTAGTTAAAGCAGCCATTGCTAAAACACTTCTCTCTGATGTTGGTTTAAATGATTGGATTATCTCATTTTAAATTGGTTTCTAAAAATACTGTTTATAAGTAGTAGTATTTTAATTTGGAGAATTATATTATTTGTAATCTTCATATATTCTTGAGTCAATCCCAACTTTACGATCAATTGATTTCAAAGTGAAATCTTTAGAATATTAAGTTTAAAACTTTTAAGGTATAACAAAGCGTGACATATTCAAATCTCCAATAGCTCTCTCTTATAAATATAATCCTAATAAATTATAAAAGTAATCTTTGTTGTCTTCCAATAATTTCTCTACTGTAGTTTCTAATAATAATTCTTAAGGAATGATTTCTAACCATATTGGATCAGTAGCAGGAATTTCAATACCATCAAATACATCCTAAGAAATACAAGGGATTGAATTTGATGTTTGAGAAGCCATATTACTATGCGATTTTATGGTATTTGTATCAGTTTTATCTGTTTTTTAGGAATTCTCTACTTTCGATGAGACATCCTAATTTCCCTTTTGAGGAAGTTGATTAAGGGTATTATTGCATATTTTCTTATTCTTTCTTTTCAAAAGAACAGTTTTTCGAGATAGTTAGGGACCTATAATGTTTGGAGTATTATTGGAAAGAACTTATCTTAATTAATCTGATATCATATTTATTTGATATTTTATGTTCATCTTTCGATTAGATTTAATTAGATAATATCCTAATTATCATCTATAGTGATTAAAATTAAGATGATTCGTTAAACATCATTAAAATGTTGCAGATTTATTGTGAATTAAAATTGAGATAAATAGAGTGAAATAGGAAGGATTTAGAAGAGGATGAATTGAAATAGTTAGATATAGATTAAGTTACATGTATATATAAGTATTATATTGAATTATGTATAGAAAATATAATACAGTTCTATACAAACTTAATATTATTTTAATAATTAGAAAAACGACTTATCTAATGAAAGTGATAATAGCCTTGTTCTTAATATCATTGGTATTAGCCGAACCAAATTTGGTAGGATAAGAATCATAAGCTAAAATTCATACTTTTTTAGGAAAGGAGAATTGTAATGATTGCGAAGTGAAGGGAGGTTCATATTGTGAAATAAAAACGAATACATATGTATGTTGCAGAAGTGATGATCATTGTTAAAAAGGAGTGGGATGTTTATAAGCATTTACTGGCATAATATGTTGAAATCATCATCTGATATTAAATATATATATAATAATGCATTTCATTTAAGGTTATTAATAACTTGACAGACTTTTTTCATTTTTTATATGAGATCTTCTTCCTTTAATCTTTCATTAATAAATATGTCTTATTTGTTTTACATATTATTATAAAATTTTATGAATTCGTTCTCATCATCACAAATTTATTATTCGGATTATTATTAGTTTTATTTATTTTTCTATTCATCTTAATTTTCTTAATCACCTGGTTCAGGTTATTATTCTTCAGAATAATCACTTGGTTCAGGTTATTATTCTTTAGAATCACTTTCTTCAATCTGAATGTCTTCCTCTATGACTTCTTCAACTTCTTCTTCAAAATCTTATTTATATTTCTCACTCAACATTTCATTTGTTGATTAATTCAAATCAGATTATTCCATGAGTTTATTTGACTTGAACTATTCTACTTATTTTTGCAATTCCAAGATCTTTTGATCTTTTTACTAAATTTATTCAAGACTATTCTGATATAAATTTTTTAGACAATATATTGGTGTATGATATTTCATATCATATCTTTTGTATTTCTTTTAACAATATATACAAAGAATGTCTTTAAATTCACATTACTCAACATGATCATCAAAATCTATGGCTTATTACTTTAATTTACACCATTCACATAAAATAGGTCTACAATCACATTCTTGTAACTAAATTAGAATGTTATTTATACATGCAATTCAATATCCATTCTTAATTAATCCTTTGAACAATATTTACATTGAACTCTACCATATTTACATTCCAATTGATGATCTTCAAGATCTTTACGAAACATAGTTTCAAAACATCCAATATTCTCACAAACTTATTCCTAATATTAACAATAATGATTTTCATGTTTTTCACGAAAATCATAAGTTATAATTTCTTCACAACCATCTTACTAAATTATTTAAAAATAAAATACTTGATATTTGCAAGTCAGAAACAATTTACTTAATAATTTAAGAAGTACTTTGGGCACTTTATCATCCATAATACTTTGATTATAATGATAATTATTCTTGTAATTCAAACCTACTCTACAACATGGGCACTATTAATTAGGACTTTTTTGAAACCTAAAATATTTAGCAAATTCAAAATACCATTTATCAATGCATTTACCACAAAAACTTTGATCACATTCCTTACAAATCTTTGGAGATTTAATTATATGACAACAAATTGGACAAATAACTTCATCCAAAAATACTTTGACTTCTGCTAAATTAAATATTCTGCTTTAATCAATAACATCCTCTTCTTCTTCTTCTTCATCTTCTGATTCTGATATTTGTGAAATTTATTGACTAATACTATGAATTGAATAGGTTTGCTATAAATCTTAGTGATCATATATATCAATATCTGAATCAGGTCCAAACCCAGAAACTTCTGAAATATCTGGTTCTTCAATAGCATATGGATAATACATAACTCTTAAATAAAATAAATATAATGTTGTATAAAAGTTTTGTTTCTATTAATAAAATAGTTAATATAAAAGTATTTTAATATATATTTTATATTTAAATGTTATATAACTTGATTCAAAAAATGTCTACATTCTTTAACACTCTCTGATTTTTATGTTAAAAATAGAATTGGACAAGTTAAAATGAAAAGAGATGACCCAGTTAAGCAGTTGTTATCAAAATTTATAACTAATATATTGATAGAGTTTTCAATTGTTTTATTATTACGTATTAATTTGAATAGTTTGATGTAACTCAAGAATTTCTATTATGGTACAAATTGTCAAAAACGATTTAAAACAGATTAATATGAATTTCTTAAAATTCAAAATTCAAGACTTTAAATTAATGAAAAAATTTGAGAATTATTATACTATTATTTTCTCAAAAAAAAAGGAGTCAATAAATTAATCATTAACTTTAATATAGTTTAATAATCAAAGATTAGAATTAAAAAAGATTCTCTTGTCTTGCTTGGTTAAGATTAATTTATAAGAATTTTATCCTCTTATTATTATAAGCCAAAACTAAAAATAAGTTCATCAAGACTAAATATACATCAATATCATAAAAAATGAATAATTTTTAATGATATATCTATATATTTGAATAAATATATTGCATTTGATATATGGGAAAAAATAATGAAATTAAATCTAAAATATGGAAAACTTATAATTACTGAATTAGAATGTAGTTTTTGTATCTTTTTAATTAAAAATTAATTAAGCAATTATATATATCATATTTCTTAACCACTTGAAGCAACATTAAGTATTTAGAATAAAGCTTAAATCTTAAATTTATAATTTACCTGAACCAACAACTACAAATAAAAACACTCCTAATAAAATTGGTCCTATAGGGAGATTTTCTTCCTTTTTCTATAAAAATAATTTGTTTGATTACAATTATTGATTTAGGAACTTTTCCTGGTCTATTAATGTTTCCTTGATAATTTTAACTTCTTAATTTCATGGTTTAAGCAGATGGCTAAATATCTTTAACATTAGTACCATTTATTTTCCTGAATTATTAGATATTTTATTATTAAAATCACGCGTGTTTATAGTTCTAATATGAATTAAAATATATAAGAATTAAGTTCATAATAATAATTAATAAATACAATATCTATTCACAAATAATCAATCTTAAGTTGTTCAATTTAATTTATTCAAGTTGAACAAACCTACAATTATATTATTATTTTGATTATCAAAAACTTAATTTAATTTCGATTGTTTTTATTTATACAAAATTTAATACTTTTATTATGTCCCTTCTATTAATTATCAAATCATTAGAGTGACCATGAAATTAACACAATTTATATGAGTTTCTATAATTAACTATCTAAATTTATTATGGTAAAATTTTGATTTTTTATATTCCACTTTAATTATTATGGTTAAAAGATATAAATTAAGTTGATCCATTCATAAAACATAAAACATTTCTATATTTTTTGATGTTCATTTAGTTTATTTTGAAATTTCAAATTTTCATTCTTAAATTCATACACAACGTATTTCCATAAAGTTTAATAAATACTTAAATTAATTTTTTAAAATATAATTAATTGGTTCATATTTAGATTATTTTTCAAATTTAAATTTAATTAGCAATGATGTATAAATTATAATTAATTATGCGTGAAACTATGTAAAATTTTTAGAAATGAAGAGTTAAAATAATTTAAATTAAAATTCATTTATTAATTATTTTAATTATGAATTCGAATATAAAATGGAAAATAATATAAATATTAGGTTTTCCATTCATTTTTTTTTGAAAAAGTGAGCATAGTTTGATTTTAAAATAAAAATAGATATATTTAAATATAATTCAGCTTAAAAAATAAAAGATTTCTATGCTGAAATTTTATGATTATTGATTTTATTAAATTTAAGAGAATAAATAATTTCGAATAAAATTGTTGAATATAAAGTTGATCAGTCTCATAAAATAATATTATGTTAATCATCTTTGATGGAAATTGATATTTAATATTTTTAGGAAAAAAAAAGAGAATAATTAACAAAAATTGCTAATTGTTTTCAAAAAAATAGATATAATAGATCAAGATGATGAATTCAATGTAGAAAATGAATTCAGACATTGAAAACTAAAACTAAGATTTATGATTTTCAATATTTATTGTTTGCTTCTTCATAAAACCTTTACAAATATATTTAATAGTATTTAATCTAAAATGATTTGTATTAATTTACTTACTTGTTGTAATTGAATGAATAAAAAAGTTATAATAAATTTTTAATTTATAATTGCTCTATAATAGTAACCATCTTTTTAGGACAAAGAAACTCAGTCAATAATAAACAAAATGATTTTTACTAATAATTTTAAGATTTTTGCTAAAATCAAACTATTTTTTTAGAATAAATCCTGTTTCTCTTATTGGATATCTAGATATAGGTATTATTATGATAGATGTATTATATTCTAAATGTAATAAAGTTAGAAATATCAACATAAAAGGCTACTTTTGGATTTATATAATTAGGTTCATAAATATCCTTCTAATATTTCTGCAATGTTTATGATAATCATTATTCATTGATAAATATCTTACTCATTCTTTTTGTTATTAATAATTAACAGAGTCATAGTTAATAAGACGATTTTGTCGATTAAAAAGTACTAACAATTATATCATTTTCATTTTAATATAATTAATATAAATTATACAGTAATCGTTAACATATGATTATAATAATGAAAAAGCTAACAATATCTTAGTTTTCCAATATTGACTTACAATATAATAATATAACATTTCTTGCATATTTTGATCTTGAACTTCATATGAATTGTTTAAAATTTAATAGGATCTTATTAATCCAGCGTGAATAATGTTAAGATAGAACTCATTTTAATTATTCCATAAAAATTGTTAATTTTGATGGATTATCTAATTAATGTAAAATTTAGTTGTTTTATACTATTTATAATGATTAATAGGAAAATCAAATAACAAAATGCAAGTATTTAATACTACTATTAGAAGGAAAATAATTGAGCGAAAATATCTAAGAGTATTTGAGAATTATTAAATAATTTAATAAATACCAAATATCAGTTATGAATATAGTGACTCCTGAAACAATCAAAGCAACAAAAACAATAAGTTCTAATTCCAATCGTTTTAACTTGGTTACATAGAAAATAGATTTTAACGATCCAAAACCTTTGTTACGATTTAAGACTATATTGGCTAATTAAATCAGCTAAAAGTGAAGTAAGTTAACAAATTCTATTTTTTAAGCTTTCTTAACCAAGTTCCCAATTTTGCAATTTTGATCTGATGATGTGATTATTATCAGATAATATATAATATCAAAAATTAACTAATCTTTCTTATTCCTACTACTTGAGAAACATGATAAATATGTTTCTTCCATTAATAATTCATGATTACCTTATAAATTGACAAGATTATAAGCTCTAAGGTAATTTTTGAATAACATTTTATAGCATTGACTATATAAAGTTGTTAGTAAAACTACCTTCTTAGATAGAGGAGAATTATTGATTAAGAATATGTAGCAAAAATGATAAAAAAATCCGACTTCATAAATCTATTTTAAACACATTTTAAATATGTTTAAATAAAGTTGTCAATTAAAAACTTTCCTAGTAATAGATTTATAAGCTAAGTCTAATCTTAATATTCAATTCCATCATTTATTTGTTTAACTTTTATAAAACACATCTTTATTTACAAAATAATAAAACTGAAAGTATTTCAATTCAATTGTAAAAAATGTTATTAATATATAATCATAATATTCTATAAATAATGTAGTCACAATTATTAGCAGTTGTAACATTAGAAACAAATGACATACCAAATTATATACACATATATGAAAATGATGATATAGATTTACTTATAGATGCATTTTGTGATCTCAATTGTATTAAATAAGGGGGAAAATAATTCATAATTTAAGAAATAAAGAGCAATCTCAATTAAGTTAGAAATTCTAAAAAAGATTTTATAATTTAAGCAGAATAGAAAAATTAACAATCTTTTGAAATAGAAAAATAAGATTGTAAGTAGTTAAAAATAACTTTCTAGAATTGAAGAAAAATAACCAAATACTTAAATTGTAAAATAATCATCAACTTTATAAAGAATCATTGTCCAAAACTACAATTAAATAAGGTGATGAATTATTAAGAATATAGATTTAGGAATAATAAAATATAAATAAGGAATCACTTAAATTATAGCTTTAGAATGGAAATTAATTTTTCAATAATAATGAAAGGTTAAGATAATAATTAGTTTCTCCTAATTATAGATATGAAAAATAATCATCAGAAATAGATCTACCAATTACAAATAAAATAATTGAATTTTCTAATCAAAGAGTTCAATAGTAAAGTAAATAAAAAAAGAAAATATTTGATGCTAATTAACCAAAAATAAAATACATACATAATTTAGATATTCTAAGAGATATTTTTAGACAACTGGATAGTGATAAAGATGGTTAGATTAGTTGTGAATAAATAAATTTGAAAATATAGGAATAAACTTTGTAAAGAATAGCTCCTGTATTATTTCACATGTAGGAGTAAAGGATGGTATTAGATTTTGATTCCTTTGCATGTTTAATAATATCTTTTGATATATTGATTTATTGAAAACTAATTTTTCATTATTAATACTCTAACAAATATAAAAAAGCTAGTTAAACACATAATGTAACAATAAAAAAAGTAATAAACTACACATCTCAATCTTATTCTATGGTAACCATTAGAAAAATTATAACTGATACATTTGAGTTAACATTTAATATATTCTGGAAGTATTTGGATTAGAAGTGAGGATTAACAATTACATGAAGAATAAGTCTAATTATATGCTGATAGGTAGATTGTTAGAAATTATTAAGATTGGAAATAAACTAATTGTTTTGTAATTTGAGTTAAACAATAATAAGAAGAAATATTTAAACAATAAAGTTAGTTTAAGGAAAAAATAGTACAGAGATCTTTTATAATNTATAGATGCATTTTGTGATCTCAATTGTATTAAATAAGGGGGAAAATAATTCATAATTTAAGAAATAAAGAGCAATCTCAATTAAGTTAGAAATTCTAAAAAAGATTTTATAATTTAAGCAGAATAGAAAAATTAACAATCTTTTGAAATAGAAAAATAAGATTGTAAGTAGTTAAAAATAACTTTCTAGAATTGAAGAAAAATAACCAAATACTTAAATTGTAAAATAATCATCAACTTTATAAAGAATCATTGTCCAAAACTACAATTAAATAAGGTGATGAATTATTAAGAATATAGATTTAGGAATAATAAAATATAAATAAGGAATCACTTAAATTATAGCTTTAGAATGGAAATTAATTTTTCAATAATAATGAAAGGTTAAGATAATAATTAGTTTCTCCTAATTATAGATATGAAAAATAATCATCAGAAATAGATCTACCAATTACAAATAAAATAATTGAATTTTCTAATCAAAGAGTTCAATAGTAAAGTAAATAAAAAAAGAAAATATTTGATGCTAATTAACCAAAAATAAAATACATACATAATTTAGATATTCTAAGAGATATTTTTAGACAACTGGATAGTGATAAAGATGGTTAGATTAGTTGTGAATAAATAAATTTGAAAATATAGGAATAAACTTTGTAAAGAATAGCTCCTGTATTATTTCACATGTAGGAGTAAAGGATGGTATTAGATTTTGATTCCTTTGCATGTTTAATAATATCTTTTGATATATTGATTTATTGAAAACTAATTTTTCATTATTAATACTCTAACAAATATAAAAAAGCTAGTTAAACACATAATGTAACAATAAAAAAAGTAATAAACTACACATCTCAATCTTATTCTATGGTAACCATTAGAAAAATTATAACTGATACATTTGAGTTAACATTTAATATATTCTGGAAGTATTTGGATTAGAAGTGAGGATTAACAATTACATGAAGAATAAGTCTAATTATATGCTGATAGGTAGATTGTTAGAAATTATTAAGATTGGAAATAAACTAATTGTTTTGTAATTTGAGTTAAACAATAATAAGAAGAAATATTTAAACAATAAAGTTAGTTTAAGGAAAAAATAGTACAGAGATCTTTTATAATAGAAGCACTGATTTAGATTATTGGTTTAACATGTTAAAAAGATATACTATTTAATTAAATTTTAGTAAAGACTATAAATTGAATAAGAGATTGGGGTATTAAGATCCATAAACATAAATCTATTAAGCAAGGTGTTTTGCAAATAATTTAAATTACACTGTGAAGGTTATATAAAAAAATAATAAATTTGATCCAAAATTAATACAATAGGAAATAAACATTCTTAGAAGAATCAAACATAAAAATATAATTAATTTGGTTGAGATTTATGAAGATTAGTATACAATATTTTTAGTATTTGAAAACTATTTTGGCACTGAAATGGTTTATAGGTTTGAAGATCTATTAAATTGTTAAGAACCTTAATATGCAAGAATAATATATAAACTATTAGAAATTTTATCTTTTATTCACTCTTTGGGTATAATTCATGGAGATATCAAATTAGAGAATATATATGTAAAATCTGATAATTTGATGGATATATGTTTAGCAAATTTTAATTAAGCAGAATACATTGATAGTTAAATAAAGGGAATTAAAGGGAGTGAAGGGTAAATTTAATAGAAATTTAGATTCTTAGTTATTAATCTCCTGAGTTATTAAATGGGAAGCCTTATGATTAAAGTATAGATATTTACGCAGTCGGAATTATTTTTTATTACTTTATATATCAAGTGATGCCATTTAGTGAATCGTAAGAACATGTATTGATTATTGTAAGGCTTAGAACGATAATAAATCAGGATAAATTGAATTCCCATAAGTTAGAAACACTAATTATGCTATTGATTTGTTAAAATAAATGCTTTAAGTTGAACCTAAGTTAAGAATTAAACCTAATGTTGCTATGAATCATGAATGGTTTATCAAAATGAAAGTACAAGAAAAATTATTTAAATAAAAAAGTTTCAAGGACTTTACACTTCCAACAATATTGGAAAAATCAGATATTTTTGCTTAATCTCCTGGGATATAACCTAAACGTGAAAGTATTGGAGTTTTTGAAGATGAATTCTTATTAGATAGTCTCTCTGATAGAATGGGATTATTAAAAAATGCATTTAATCCATCTAAGTTCAATCATGACATTTTTTAGAAGAAATAAAAATGAAATTTAACTCTATATTATTATTATTATTAATATAAACGCAAATATTAAATCATGATTCATTAAGAGAGACAATCATAATTCAAAGTAAGGAACGATAAAGGATTTCTTTCTCTATAGTTTTCTTTCCAATATACTAATTACTGAGTATTGAGAATTTTCACTGAAGAACCTTTATCTTTTTCTTATTGACTTTTTTGTTTTCATAATTTCTTTTGGACTTGGCAGTTCTTCTTCGAAAATTGTTTATAAAGGAATATTTAACTAAGTTTAAGAAACATCATTTGTTAAATCTAATTCTGGTACATAATAAGAAGATTGGTTAATTGGCCTAATTATTATATATGAGTATTACTTAAGCTAAGGTGTTTCTGGTATTTCATTATGATAATCAACAAATTCTTCAAAAGTCAATGCTGAGTTAAATCTTTTCCTTTTATCACACATATAAATAATTATTTTCAAAAATATTTTTAAATAATTGTAAAAAAGGATCAATTAAATAGAGATAATTAGGAAACCATAAAAAATGATGTATTAAATAATTGGATTTCAGTGCTATTTTATGATAAAAAATAATGTAATAAAGAAATAGAATTCTTATAATATTTGAGAGATGATAAAGAAAGAACATTAATTAGTAGAAGATATATTTATTTTAGTATTAATAAAATTATTATAATCTGAATAACTTGAAATGTAATACTAACAAGGGAATATCAATGCTGAGTATCTAAATGATAAACAACCATATTAATAACCTTAAGGAGGGTATTAATATATGCCTGTATAAGGATAGCCTGTGATTGGACAACCAGTTCAATAATAGTATTTATTTTTGATAAAAACTAGATATCAATATTACCCATAAGGATAAGGTTAATATCCTTAATAACCATATGCTTAATATTCTTAATATCCTCAAAGAGTTTAGCATCCAGGTGGATATTAATAACAAATGGTTGTTATGCCTCCAACAGCATTAGTCGTAGCAGTACAACCAATTAATCCAATAGTTGCAAAGGAAATGGCATTGAGATCATATACAAGATAGTAAACAATATTTTAAGATTTAGTTTCTATGGATGTAATTGTTGTATTGGAGTTCTTGCAGGGATTTTCTTGATTATAAGATGTGTAAATGCATTCAATTAAGGAGGAGCATAAAGAGCAGGTGGTGTCATGTATATTATCTCGTAATCATATCATATTTATTATAGCAACTTTTTTTTTATTATTGGAGCAATCTGTGGAATTTATTCAATAAGTCGATATATTGAAAAACTATTATTGCATTACCAAATCTTATTAGTCATAGCTTTAGTATTTGAACTTATTGGGTCTATCATTATATTTGCAACCTATGATGAAAATATGAATAATGAAGATGATGATTAAAAAAATAATTATTAGAAAAGAGATTATGACAAAGAAAATGAAAAAAGTGTTGGGTATCATATCTATTTATTAATTAAGGTTAATCTTTTTCATTATCTCACTCATTATTATAGTTATTTGTTATGGAATGTTTATTAGATATTCGAGACAAATTAGATATATGATGATTGATTTGAATATTACAAGAGCCAATTAAATGAATTAGAATGCTTAATAAGGACCCATGTAAAACTAAGGAAATGCATTTGGAGTAGCATAGATATGAATGATATATCAAAATTATTGATTTTATTTTGGTTACCTTACTTTTTAAAAATATAAATATTTTACTATATGTGATGTTTTATAATCAAGCATTATATCAAAAACTTGATTAACAGTTCAAATATTTTGTTTTTTCATTCAAAATTTTTGACTACATAAAAAAACTGTCAAATCGAGGATTTGCATATACTATGTATTACCATCAAATATATTTTTTCTCAAATATTTTATGAAATTTTAAAAATATCATCTTTAAAGTTTCATCCAACATATGTAATTTTTGCTTACTTAAATCTAATTATTATTTAGAAAATTGTGTTCAAATATATTTAGTATTATTGTTTAATTATTCTTTGATAAATACAATAGTTCTTTGTCTCATTTTATTCAAACTATTTTATTTGATTTTCTAAAATATTAATTCCTATCTAAATCATAATTTTAACTCATTAATTTATGGATTACTAAATAAATACTATTCTCCCCTTTTAACTAATATGTTTGATATAATTATTTTTACAATCTCACTAACTATATGTAGAAATTAGTAAGGAAGAGTTATTTATTTTATTAAAACTATTTAAATATTTATACTAATAATTAACATATTTAGTTTAGGAATAATTATACATTTTTTAATTTATGATTCCTTCTCTATAAATCAAGAGATTTCAATTTGTTATTTATTATTAATACACGAGATTAGATATGAAGTGTAATAGTATAGTTTATTTGTATTGATAAAAATATATAATGTTTAAATAATATTTGAGGAAACAAAAATGTAAGGAGTGAAGATCTAGAAGAATTTTTGAGTATAAAATTAATTATATCAATAATCAGATGAATTGGACTAATCCATAGAATTCTAAATACTGCCCCTCTTTTTTGTCTTTCTCTATGATAAATTTAACTATTCTATTTTTTTAGCCTAATTTATAAATTAAATTTATTTACTCTTTTTTATAGTTTCTCTTATAACTTTCCTAGTAATGTAGCCACTTTTCTTTATTTAGGTGATAATCTATTATTTTCATATCTATCATTTTCTTTAGAATCAACAGGAGATCTTGATCTAGGCACTGATTTCAAATGTGATTTAGATTATTACCTTGATTTTGATTAAGCTTTCTTTGACTTGATGAAATTAATTATAGAACTACTAGAAGAACTATGTGATGATTTATTAGATGATGATTTTGAAACAGACTTCTCTTTTTACCTTCCTCTAGAAAGAGGTTTCTTTTTTTCATATTCTCTATATTTTTCTTATTATTATTCTTATTAAATATAATCTTTGAAGCTCTTGATCATCTCTTTTTGCTGATTCTTAAACTTAGATTCTTATTATTAAAATAAGGTTTAGAAGTTACCAGAAAGTTCACTTATTTTCTTATCAATTACTTCTTCAAACTTACTAGTTTATTATTATTATTATTATGGTTATTATGTTGGAGTCATTTATTATGACTGTTAAGTTTATTATTGAGTTATTTAACCATTATTATTATAACCCTATCTTTTATTAGCATCAAAACTCACTTCACTTTAATTCTACTAAATATATTTATGGATTGAATCTTCTTATTCTTATTATTTATCTTTTATTTAAGTAAACAATTTAAATAATCGTTAAACTTGACTCTCTAATTATTCACATTTATCTTTCCAATCTTAAACATCTTTTTTTAAAATATTTATTTCACTTAAATTTTTACTCTAAATATCTAATACCATTCTTTCAGTTGATGTTAATCTTTAAAAAGATTCAGGAATATCTTCTGTAATATTACTTTTATGAAATCCTTATTTAGTTTATGATTAACTTGATTTTCCTTATTAATGACTCTATTTCAAACTAGCTACTTCTCTTCCCATACTATGAATCTTTTAAGCTAAATCATGATATTCATTCATTTTCATATCTTATCTTTCATTTCTATTATCATTTCTATCATTTCTATTATCATTTCTATTATCATTTCTTTCCATTCTTTCAAATCTATCCATTCTATCTGATCTTTCATGATGATCTAATTCTTCTTTTTCAAATTATTATTTATATTAACTATTGTTATTTTCAGTCTATTGTTAAGATTCAGTTACACTTTCTGTACTTATCATAGCATATTCTTCAAGTAAATATACTTAATTTAAATAAGTTTTAGATGCACCAAATGTTTCCTTTATTATAATCTTTATAAATTGATATCTAGTTCCTAAAGGATCTATTTAAAATAATTATATTCCTTATTTCAATTCAGGATATAAAGTTGTCCAAGTAATAAAATTTTCACCATTTAATGATACCATTAATTCAATCACTGATGGATTACTTTAATAATCATGCCAACAATCAAACCCAAAACATTTAATAAATTTTGGTCTTTCTTAAACTTAAGATAAATCTAAAGTTATATATTGAGGTAATCCTGCTAAAGACATCCATAATGCCTAAATTTTTAATTCATATCATACTTTTCTTTCTTAAATCAAAATATTTTCTGCTGCACTATTAGGTAATGTTGAACTAACATTACAAACTCTTACTCCATTTTCTGTTGTACAATAATTTTAATGTTCCATTTGAATTTGAATTTTAAATTAATAAACTTAAAAAAATTGAATCAAAAATTCATTTTTTAAATTGTTTTCACATTCTTTATAGCTTCTATTATATATCAAAGCATTCTATTAATATTTATCTAATTACAAATTTTATTATAATCAAATTACAATTCTAAGAATTTCTTTAATTTTAATTTTATTTATTTGTGTATATTTTTATGGGCAAAAAAAATAAAAAACAAAAAAGTCAAGATAGTGATCCTATAGTTAAACAAATTAAGAAGAAAAAACCTTAACCTATTAAGAAATAAGATGATATAGAAGAAATTACAGAAGAAGATAATTCTTAATAACAAAATGAAGATGATGAATAAATTTTTGATCATATAGTGGATTTTAAAAAAAGTAATGAAAAACCTTCTCATTATTAAAATTTGCTTAAAAAACTAAATGTTAAATAATAATTAGCTGATGATAATTATGGAAATTCAGAGTCTGCAAAATTGAATGTCAAACAAGAAAATAAGTCTGTGTATTCAAAAATGAAAAAATATGAAATAGTAAAAATACCTAACATAAATCCATTTTCACATTTTGAATATGATTATTAAGAATTGAGAAGAACAATTTGTGTAGGGGATATTGAAATTGAATAACCAGAATAACTTAATGCTTTTTTTAAAGAGAAAACAACTAAACTTGTACACACTTTAAATAATGGAATTGAATTTTAGAAATATGAATTAAATAAGTAATTTAAGAACAAGACTTTAATTGATTTGAATTGTAAAACAGAAGATTATAATATTGAGAGCTTATCATCAAATTAATTAATAAAGGATGATAAATTTTAATTGCCTGTTGTAAAAGATTTAGAAGATTAAAAAGAATTAATATCGACAAATCTAATATAAAGTTATTTTGATTATATTGAAACTGATCCTGATGAATTAAATGCGGAAAAATTTAGAAAAACTTATATTACTCACATTATAAATCATTTAGATAAAGAAAAAGAAACTTATGGATTTACAAGATGTAAAGTGTTAATATTAACAGCCTTTAAAGGTGATGCTATTTCAATAATTGATTAACTCATTTAAAGTGATAAAGAAATAGTGAATAAAGAAAGATATGAAAATGAATTCTGTGATGAAGAGAGACTTGAGGAAGATGATTTTAGAATTGGAATTCAAGTTTCAAAACAGGGATATATAAAATTACATGCAAACTTTGATAAATCTGATATTATAGTTACTTCTACTTTAGGAATGAGATTAATTATTGGAACAGATGATTAGAAGCATCGAGAAACTCATTTTCTTTCCTCTATAGAAATATTAGTAATAGATAGAGCCTCTTCTATTTATATGTAAAATTGGACTTATTTAGAAGATATCTTAGAAGCTACAAATTTATTACCAAATCATAAAAACATTACAAGTGATTTGAGCACCATAAGACCTTATTGTTTTGAAAACTTATCTAAATTTTATAGATAAAATATAGTTTACACTGATCATTACTTTTCAGAATTAAATTATCTTAGAAAACAATACTTTTAAAATTATAAGGGATGTATCAGCAATAAAATTTACTTTAATTAGTTGTTTCAAAAATCTGTAAACTTTTAATAAGAATTTAGACAAATTGATTGTTCTACAAATGAATAATAAATTGAATAAAGATTCAATCAATTTAAAAAATTATGGAACGATATAGAAAATAACAAAAGTTCATAATTTTAAAAAACTTTGATTTTTGTTTAATCTTATTTTGATTTTGTTGCTTTAAAAGGACATTTTAAAAGAATTAATAGTAATTGTGAATGTGTAAGTGAATATACAAAAAAAAACAAAGTTTAGAGCATAATAAGTAAATTTAAAGATGGAAGAATATAATATATTCTTATCACAGAAAGAGCATATTTTTTTGAAATAATTTAGCTTAGATAAATGAAAAATATAGTTTTTTATTAATTGCCTCAACATTCAATAATTTACAAATAATTGATTTAAAGTATAGAAAATCTAGGAAATAAGACATAGATAATTACGTACTACAGTAAATTCGATGCATATCAACTTGAAATAATAGTTGGAACATTAAAGGCAGAAGAAATGATTTCAGAATAAAACAAGAGAACTACTTTTATTTTATGATAAGCTATTTTGAATGTTTATAGATGTTAATTGTATATAATATATTTTTTTCATCATGATATATCCTAACTTTAATTGTTTTAATTTTGATAATTTTAATATCCATCTTGTAACTAGTAAATATCTTAATTATTTGGATTATTATTCAAATTATTCAAATTTTTATTTTATTGTAATTCATTTTGAGAATTTCATTTTGTTACTGTTATAATTAAGGAATATAAATTTAAACTTAATAAAGTTATTATGAATTATTTATTTATTAAAACTATCAAGCTGGAGGTTTTAAATTTAAGGTTAAGTTTAAGTTTAAAGTCTCTGTATTTCAGCTAGTAATTCTGATTCTTATTAAACTCTTTTATCTTTAGATTGAATGACTTATGGAGCGTCATATTATACTTTTATATCTTTAATTATAATAGATTATGTAGTTTGTTTTAATCGATCAATCTTTAAAGTGAATCAGGTAAAACTTAAGGAATATTTTTTCTACAACAAGAAATTAAATGAAGGGCAACTATATATTCATTTTTAAAAAGGAATCCTTTTAAATTAGTATCAACAAGAGCCCATAATTATTTTAAAATTTGACCTGATAATTCGGGTGTATAAAAAATTGCCTTTGCAATTTCACCTTCAATATAGCCTTGCTATTTTTCTATCTTATTATTAATAATGTAAGCTGTATTTTTCATAGAGATCATTACTTATATCAAATTGATTTGAAATATCCTATTAAGCAACTTAAATTAATGGGGGCTTGTAATATTGTTAATTAAGAACTAGAGCTGTTCAATATGATTGAGACATGGGCACTTGAGAAGGTTAAGGATTTGATTATTTTATTGCATCAAATCTAGGAGCTTATTAAGGAAGTGGGAATCCATCTAAAACTGGTAAACGAACTTAAATATTTTCAAACAGTAGTTAAGGTGTTAATATGCTATCCATCTCATCATTGTAAAAAATTCTGAAGTGTATTATTTATTTTCATAATTTTATAAAGTTATCAACCAAATAGCTTTTAGTTTATCTGATGGCTATTGACTTTTTTAAAATAATAATATTGCTTCTTTAACATTAGTATATTCGATACCCTAATCATTTAAATTTTTTTATTACTTAAGTATTCAAGTGTGCTCTGTAGTTATCTATAATAATAATCTTCATCTGATGTCAATAATAAATTATTCATTAAAATTAAATGTTATATAATAATCCAAATAAAAACAATTTAAAATCATTGCAAGAAATATATTGATTTACTATCAACAGAATATGTTTTAAAAGTCAACAACAAGATAAACAATTTTAAATAGAAAACTTTTCTCAAATTGTAAAAAATAGAAATTACACTTAACTATTTATTAAGATTAATAATTAAATATATTTACTCTTCTATTGTAATTAATATAAATGGGATAATAGATGTAAAATTTAAAGTTAGATTGTTAAATATTTTTATTAAAAATTAAAGCTATGAAATTAATTCAAATGAGTATTTATATCTGCTTGTTTGTAATGTAAGTTTATTCCGTAAATTTTAGTCCGGTTTTGGGATAAAATGATGAGAAAGTTGCAAAAGATTAGAATTCCATAGATAAAAATAATGTATGTATCTTATGCTTTTCTTGGAATTTTATAGGATTGAAAATGGCAAGTTTATAATACTGTTAATATTTTTGGCATTGCTTTTTCGTTATTTGTATACAAGGAAAGTATTATAAAGAATTGGGGATTTGATTATTAGTCTAAAAAATCTTAAAGAAAATAAATAGTAATAATAAATTCCAGAGAGTGATGAATACTATAAAAAAAGTATATTGTAAAATAAAATGAATTAGATTCAATAATTAAACAGTTGAAAAAAGTATTAAAATTTTTGAAAAGTTAATTCAAAAGAACACATGAATCTTAGATAGATGTTTCAAAGAAATACAGTTAATTTGATATGGAAGAATCAATTTGAAATTTACAATAACATATAATATACACATAAACTTGATTATCAATTCTTTCTTTTCTTTTTTTAATTTTTAGTATTATTATTATTGTTTGTTTGAACTTCTTCTTTTTTTATTTTTTTAGACTTTAAATTATTTTTTTGAGTGACTTTTTATTTTCCTAATTATTGTTAAAGAGGAGGATCAACATCAGGTTTTAAATTAGATATTTGATCTAAAGGTTCTTCTTTATTTAAACAATTTTCGCATTTGCATAAATCAGTACATTTTTAATTAATACTATAGCATTCACAATATTTCTTTTTGCATTCTGATTTTTTACAATTGCATCCTTTTTTGGTTTCCTTGGTTAACTCTTTTTATGATTTGGGTTCTTGTAGAAATGTGATTAGATACCTGGAATGATTTATGGTAATTATCCATTGTTAGTAAGTATAGCAGAGAATGCTTCTGGATTTCTAAGTAAGGCTTCTTCAATAGCTTTAGATCTTTCATTTGGATTATCAATTCTATTTTTACATTCAGTACAATTACAACTCTGTGAACAAACCTAAGTATAAAATGTAATGATAACCCAATTATTGGCAAAGCATTCACAATATAATTTTAAACATTTACTTTTTTTACAATTACATTAAAATGGAGAAACCTTTTAAAATTGAACAAGTTGATTAACTTTTGATTAAAGTTCTTTAGATAAGGTATTTTAATATTAGGATGTATCAAAAGGAGGATAATAGAATGGAGGATATGGATGTCTATACCAAGGAGGAGGATATGGTAGAGGATATTTCATATGCATATAAGGGTTATTTTGAGGATATTTAATTTATGGGGGGATTTATTAATAGTAATGGTTGTATGGTTATCGAAATTGATCTTCTTCATCTGGTGCATCTCCTGCAGATAATTTTCGAAATGGATATTTAGGTTTGTTTTTATCTTAAAATTCAGGTTCAGCATGAAGATTAAAGTTTGAAATATTTTAAGGAGGATAGAGATAACATTGTTAGGGAGTGAATCTTGGAGATAAGGAAGGAGGTTGTTATGGCCACTCTTAATCATAATAGTGAAGTTATTTATCAACCTTATGTTCATTGGAATTATGATCATCTTAATTCATAATAAATTAATTAAAAATTAATAATGGCAAGAATCAATAAAGAAGAAGTTGACATGGATAATCCAGCATATGCATAATAAGATCCACATCTTAAAATTAATGATGATGATGAAATGGGATTGCCATTTTCATTTAAAAATCGTTATCCTAGAAGACCACCTCTATTTGATGGTTTATTAAACAGTGTTAGAGCTGTAACTAAAAAAGTAGAACATATAAAAGGTTTTAAATTTGAAGTGGCAGGTGGATTGTCAAATAATTTTCATTTAGCTCATTCTTGGTTACTACCACCATCTGTAAATCTATCTTATATATATTTAGAGTAAAGGTAAAGCACCAAATCCTAATCCAATGAAACAACCACCTGTTCCAAGTTATACTTTAGCTGCTTAATATTTGGGAGGTTCTATCAAAACACCATATGATCAACCTACATATATCATGACTGGTAGATGGGATTCAACTGGAAAATTAGAAGCTGCTCTTATCAAAAAATTAAATGAAATGTTTAATTTTAGGTAGACTTTTATTTTCTATTAAAATTATTAAGATTTAGTGCCTTTTATTTAAATTCTGATCCATTAAATGCTTAAATTCATTTAGATTGCGATATAAATGGCGAAGATTATGTTCATTCTATCAAAATTGGAACAGGATTATATAGTTTTAATATGATGCAAACTATTGGAAATAGACTTGTATTAGGATATGAAATGATGACTCTGGTATTTATAATCAACTATTTCAAGACAGAAAGAAATCTCTCATTCATGAGTTATGCCTTAAAATATGGTATTAATAAAAATTAAATTTTTTTCTCTTAATATGTTGGAGCTGCTAATTAATTAATCTTAGCTTATTATCACAAAGTAAAAAATTCAAATCGAAAAATAGTTGTTAGATAAATCATTTTTCATGTCAGAATTAGAATATTCAAATTAAACTGGAGAATCAAAAGCTATTCTTGTAAAAATATATTTTTATTATTTTAGGGTTATAGATAGAAATTTGCCATTTCAGAAGTTATAGTGACAATTAATTCAAAAATGAAATTCAGCTCTGCATTAACACTTTAGGGATTTGCTTATTAATTAAAATTATGCGCCATTGCAGATTATTAAAAAGATAACTATAAATTTGGATATGGGATAGCAATGGGTTAAGTTTGATAACTAGTATATTAATCAAAATATAAATCATCTTAAATTTTTACTAAAACTTTTTGATAATGTTTCTTAAATTTTTTTATTCAAATTAATTAGTTTTTAATCTAAACCATCTCCCTTCTAACTATTATTCTTTATTTCTATATTTTCTTAATTATTATTATTAACATCGGCACTTATTTTACATTTCTAATTACTTATTTACTTATTAATATTAGACTACTACTATTCTAATAATCCAATCTAATTGTTTTTAATTAACTAATATTTGACTACTATTCTAATAATCTTATTTATTTCTCTTTATTCTATTTCAAAATCTATTAGAACTCTATCCAATCAGGCCTTTTCACATTATCTAAATCAACCATCAATCTCAAAACATTCTCAACTCTGCCTGGATACAATTTCCCTATTCTTAATAGATTCTCTTCTAATTTATCTACCTATAATATTCCTTAATTATATAATTCTTCACAATCTTTTAATAATGCCAATGATAATATAATCATACTAAAAATTAATTACATCAATTATTACCCAAGACCAAATACATCATATTTAAACCTATTAAATTTCTAATTTTTTCCATTTTCAGGTGGTTAAAATTGATTATAGAATAAATTTGGTGCTTTTGCTCTAAATGGACTAACATCTTAGACTCTATTCAATAAGTATTCCTCATCAAAATATATACTCAAGAGTCAAAGCAGAATTAGATATTCCTTTGTTTTATAAGAATAATAAAGAATCTGATAAACCTGAAATCATTTTACAAATTTCATCCTCTGGAACATAATCTTTATTTTATTATCTTTTTTCTATTAATTATTTCACATCTAAAGCCAAATATTCATAATAAATTTTAAATTCTTTTGATTAAGCATATTTATCACCTACATCTTAAAAGAACAAAAAACAAATTAAATTTGGATGTCTCTATTTTGTTCTCTCTTATATTGCAATTATTTCTGCTTAACTTATTATATTTGTCCAACAACATAAATATTTTGCAATTGGATCAATCGATGTTGATGTTATGTCTATTACATGAATTAGCGAAGTATAATACCATAACATATAATCTTTTGGATTTTAATTAGGTTATCTTTATCTTAGAGCTTCTTGGATAACAGGATTATAAGATAATGTAATTTTATTTATTGGAAAGCCTTACTTCTATTATCCAACATTAAATTCAGGGTAAATTCTTTTCTGTTAAATTAATTTCTAATATTCAAAATTTTATTATTTATGTTTAAATATAATTAGACAAAATAATTTCTGCTTTTTTAAAATATCTTACCCAAATTTATTTTCTATAACTTTATACTAATTTTCTATGTTGCTAAAATTAATATAAAACTTACATTAAATTTTCAAAATTTATAATTATAAAAATTTAAATGTAAAATTAAATTACTAATTTTCATAATTCTAAAAATGATGAAATAATTAAATTTTTAAAAACAATCACCATTAATTAATAAAAGTACCTATAAAGCTTTTAAATAGTCAAGGTTTAATTTAAATATTATTATCTAACTTTTAATATTTGGTTAATTATTTTTTATCAATTTTTTTTCATATAAAAAAATCATTAATAAAATAGATATTTATCTTTTTCCCTTTACATTTTTTTTTTTATTAGATCTGCCATGGAAATGAAAATAAATCATTTAAAAGATCATGTTGATTATAATTATAAAATATAATAATTAAAGATAATGAGAGTATAACCATTTTCTTTAGCAATTTGTAGTATTAACTGGTTGTCTTATAACTGTATACTTTTAGAGAATTTTCTAAGCTATTTATAATAGAAAAAGGTTTCTTAACAAAATTAAAATAGGCTATTTAAAAGGAAAGAATAGATCAAGTTTTAACCATTGTAAAATAATTGAAAAAGTGTATATAGTATTTATCTATTATCTATATATTTCTCTAAAGAAACTGATGCAATGAAATCATAAATTGGATTCTGGCAATCCAAAAAATTAGGCCAAATCCTTTTCAACTAGGCATCCTTTAAGCCTTTGTAAATTATTATATAAAATATTTTAAATATGTATTTCTATATGCTATTTAATTCAGTAAAATTGGTTGTAAAGTAATATAAAAAATCATGAAAATTTTTGTATTCATCAAGATAAAGTTTTATTTTTTCTTTCGTATATATTTTTCAATATCTATAAAATTTGAAATGGTGAATGCTCATAGATATTAGTAGGGAATCGCATAGTTTATTATGATATGAAATTAGATTGATTGTTCTATATTTATCTAAGAATTAAATAATGATTAGATTAAAAAAAGATATTATAAACTTAAATTTAAATCTAATTATTACCCGATCTTATCAATAATATTTTTCTTGGAATTTCGATAAAATTTTTATAATTTTATTATATATATTTAAACAGAATCTTATAAATGACTATTTGTAATTAATTTATGCAAGAAACTTAAACATAATAATCAAGAGGTTTTAGGGCGATAATAGCCAAAAAAAAAGACAGATAGATTCATAATAATCAACCATTTACCTAGAATGGATTCTTTTTAATTGAAGGAATAAAAATGTTGAATCAATGTAGTAAGTTAGAACAATAAAAAGAAAGTGAGACTAAAAGATTAACAAGAAAATAATTTTAAAATTTATTTAAACAATCAAGATTATCAATAATGATAGATAAAGAAAAAACAATCAATAATAGCACTTACACAAAAAGGAATTATGCTCCATAAAAACCTTCTGTTTTAAATTTTGAGTTTTCATTAGATTAGAATGCTTTTAGGAATAAATCTATTGATATCAGCAAAAATAGGAGACTATAATGGAATAAAAAAACCAGAAAAGATGTGGATTTGACATAAAGGGAAAGATTCTATACTGTATAATTTATAACAAAATCTGAGGGGAAATATGAAACTCGAAATCTTCTTGAAATGAATATACAGAAATACTAAAAATTAGTGAATTCTCCACCGCTGAGTCGTCAATGCAAACAAAAATATCAATTATGAAAATAGATAAAGAAAAAGGTTAATGTAAATTTATAAGAATTAAATTGATATTGAGTTTCATATTACCAAGTCTTTCTTACAACATATAACAATGACATATTGTATTGAAAATTCTTTTATCTATTTTCAAATCAAATTTTCTATATTATATATAATTTTAAGATATTAAATATTAGTAATGAATTGAAATTGTGTGAGAAGATTTAAAAAAGATTAATTTTATTGAATCCTTAATATAGATTGAAACTAATTCATTTATAATAATTGTAATCATTTTATCATTCTTAAACTTCATCATCAACATTATATTACTTTTTAAAATTAATAAATCGACCAAGAACATTTTAATCAAAATCTCCTATGTCTTCACTTAATTTAGATGAATTTGGTTAATCAACCATAGATGGAGACTACTCTTAATCTAGAGAGGAGTTTTAATTAATATCTAAAGTATCACCTAGAGTATTTGAGAAGAAAATGCTTTTTTTTATTGGAATTTTTTAAAAGCTATTAGCTAAATCTGTTTATTAAATATCACTTTTAGAATCGAAAGAACAATTATTTTTAATTATAATAGTTGATGAAGATCCCAAAAGGATATTTCGTTATTTATGACTATTTTTAGAATATTTAGATGATAATCTTGGCATATTTTTTCTGATAGCTAATTTTCTAAGTGATTTTTTTCTGACTTAATCATCCTCTATAATTTAAAACCATGAATGTTTAAGAGCAGCATCAGGATGAGGTCTAAATGTCCAATCTTTTTACAATAGTTATATTAATAAATCTTTGGCTTCTTCTGAAACTTATTCAAATAACTCATTTGGAAATTCAAGAGCTGCTTCTTTGATTTTTTCAATCAAATCATTTAAACTATAATATTTGATTGTATATCATACTAATCAGAGATAAATGGTAATTGTCCCGATAACATAGAATATAAAATACAACCTGCACTCCACATATCAACCATTTAACTTTTTTATATAATATTACATTTACTTATAACCTTCTCCTGAAAATATTTCTGGAGCTGAAAATGCTACAGTGCCAGTATAAGTCCACATTTCAATTTTCTCTCTATCCTTAAGATCTCCGAATTCTTTATAAGCATCACTAAATTTACTTACATTAAAGTCAGTTACTTTGATCTAATTTTTATCTATTGAATTTATATAAATACTTTCAACGCATAATATATTATTGGGTTTCAAATCTCTATGGCATATACCATTTCTATGCATGTACTCTATTGCACTTAATAACTACTTAAATAACTCCTTAGCATCACTCTCACTATAATGTCCTAATTCATTTATCACTTCAAACATCTCTTTTCCCTTAATCAATTCCATTACTACATGAGCTTTACTTTCAGACTGNTATAGATTGAAACTAATTCATTTATAATAATTGTAATCATTTTATCATTCTTAAACTTCATCATCAACATTATATTACTTTTTAAAATTAATAAATCGACCAAGAACATTTTAATCAAAATCTCCTATGTCTTCACTTAATTTAGATGAATTTGGTTAATCAACCATAGATGGAGACTACTCTTAATCTAGAGAGGAGTTTTAATTAATATCTAAAGTATCACCTAGAGTATTTGAGAAGAAAATGCTTTTTTTTATTGGAATTTTTTAAAAGCTATTAGCTAAATCTGTTTATTAAATATCACTTTTAGAATCGAAAGAACAATTATTTTTAATTATAATAGTTGATGAAGATCCCAAAAGGATATTTCGTTATTTATGACTATTTTTAGAATATTTAGATGATAATCTTGGCATATTTTTTCTGATAGCTAATTTTCTAAGTGATTTTTTTCTGACTTAATCATCCTCTATAATTTAAAACCATGAATGTTTAAGAGCAGCATCAGGATGAGGTCTAAATGTCCAATCTTTTTACAATAGTTATATTAATAAATCTTTGGCTTCTTCTGAAACTTATTCAAATAACTCATTTGGAAATTCAAGAGCTGCTTCTTTGATTTTTTCAATCAAATCATTTAAACTATAATATTTGATTGTATATCATACTAATCAGAGATAAATGGTAATTGTCCCGATAACATAGAATATAAAATACAACCTGCACTCCACATATCAACCATTTAACTTTTTTATATAATATTACATTTACTTATAACCTTCTCCTGAAAATATTTCTGGAGCTGAAAATGCTACAGTGCCAGTATAAGTCCACATTTCAATTTTCTCTCTATCCTTAAGATCTCCGAATTCTTTATAAGCATCACTAAATTTACTTACATTAAAGTCAGTTACTTTGATCTAATTTTTATCTATTGAATTTATATAAATACTTTCAACGCATAATATATTATTGGGTTTCAAATCTCTATGGCATATACCATTTCTATGCATGTACTCTATTGCACTTAATAACTACTTAAATAACTCCTTAGCATCACTCTCACTATAATGTCCTAATTCATTTATCACTTCAAACATCTCTTTTCCCTTAATCAATTCCATTACTACATGAGCTTTACTTTCAGACTGAAACCCATTATTGAAATCAACATATAATTTATGAACTTTAACAATATTTTCATGTTATAATTTAAACATCGATTTAAACTCGAGAATCATCTACTTTTTATATGTTTTTATTACATTTCTTATTATTTCATCATCTTGAGTTTGGACGATCTTCACTGCATATTCAATCTATGATTATTTATGTACAATCCTTTTAACCAATCCAAGACAGCCTTCTCCTAATATTTCCATCATTTCATAATCTTCATCAAACTTTTTTAGATTAGGACATATATATTCTGAATCAAATTCATTTATTTCAACATCTAATTTACGCCCTAACTCCTATAGTTCTTCCCATAAATCCTTCTCATCATTTAAAGGTTTCTTTATTATCAATTAAATCCTTCCTATTCTATATTTAATTGAATCTACCTCTTAATTGCTACTTAATTCTGTCTCGATTATTTTGTACTTAAGTTTGTTTATCTTCTGACTCAGACTTAAGAAAAGTAAATCTTCCACTTCCCTTTTTCTCTGTTGTTTATAATCTTGGAGGCTATCTTTAAGTCTCAAATGTGCAAGATTCACTGAGTGTTATTTAAGACAATTAATCTAGCATTATACAGTAAAATATTTTATAAATAAAATTTGTTACAGTGTAATTAAAGAATTCTAAATATGTTATGTAATTCTTCAATTACATCTTAATTATATAACTTTAAATTATGAATCAGAATATCTATAACCAATTTAGACTTAAATAAGGATTAAATAAAAGCTAAAGTTCAGCATTTTAAACAACTATTTTACATTAATCTAACCTTGTTATCTAATATAAATATTTATTCTGATTTTATAATATTAATTTACAATTTACTAAATTCAAATAGAAATGGAATTAAATACAGATCCAATTGTTTTATAAAATTCATCTACAGTCTCCATCAGGTAATGATTTTGACAATAATAAAGTGAATATAAACCTAAATATTCTCAAGTTATTTATTTTGGATCACAAATGGCCATGTAAAAGGAAAATGAAATGAATGAAGGTAATCAAAATGAAATTGATAATAATAAATAAAAATAAGTTCCGTTAGTAGAAAAAGAAATAGAATTTAGGAAAATATTTTCAAAGTATAAATTAAAAGTATTTTAAGATTTGCTGTGACAAATGCAATATTTGGAATTTATTAGCTCATTATTTTAATTTTTCAAGGAATATTATTGATAGAAAATGATGAAGTTTTAGGTTTTATTTTATTACTCATCAGGTAAAAATATTGTTTATATAGCTATTCTTTATGGGGAATCACATTTTATATAGCTATTAAGACATTTAAAGATTAAAAATCTTCATAACTTATAATCTATCAATCAAATTTATTTATAGTAGGAATTATAGATTGTTATGTATAATCCTTGATCTTTTCAGCACTAAAAAATGCAAAGGTGTTTTATGAATTTTTCTTTACAAGTTTATGGATAGCAAAGATAGTTTTTTTGACAACATTATTTTTTTAGTGTAAAAAATCAAAAAATTTAATGATTGTAATAAAATACTTAAAACTTGAATATCTATAACATTCTTCAGATACCAATGTTTGAAATTTAATAATTAAATTATGAGAAATTAATTTTATAAATACTTATTCAAACCTCAAAAATATCCTTTAATTTCAGAAAGTTTTCCTTAAGACATAAGACGCTTTCTATCATAATTTTCTTCTATGATTTCATCATTTTATTATGTTTCTGGTTTTGTTGGAACTTTCATAACATATTTTTCATAATTTGAATTACTACTAAACCTTACATAGGGAAACGAATTTTTATGAGATTGAGATCGTAATTAAATAATCTCTTATTCAAGTACATTTTTACCAACAACTTCGAGATTTCCAATGTCGTCAGGGACTGTTGGTATTAATTTCATAATAAGATCAGAATTTTCTGAAAGCTTTTTATTTAAAGCAGATTGAGAGGTGAAAGTACTAAAAGGTTTGAAGTCAAGTTAACTTAAAGAAGATCTTCTAACAATTTCTATTTATGGAGATTTAGGATTGCCATAGATCTAATAATTCTTTTCAAATAAATCTACAAAAGTCTTGGGTTTAATATTCGAGTCTTTTTTTCTTAATCCGAGACGCTATTCATTTTATTTAATATATACCCAAAATTCAGTACCTTATTTTTCTTCAATTGGAGTCAAAGTATCTAATATTCTTTTCATTTCTTCTTTCATCCTATGTTATTCAATTCTATCGAGAAGAGAATAACCTGGTTATCTTTAAATTTTCGATTCTATTTTTATTTTTGTTAAATCCCAATCTTATTATACTAAGTCAAATGTTTCAATAACTCTTTCACATTTACTCATTTTTAAAGATTCACCTTTAGACATACGACTTTATAATTATCTTGTTTTTTTTTCATTCTAAATTATTATTTAATTTGATATGTACTTCCATTTTATTTTTTTCAATTCTTTATTATATCTATAAAATTTGTTCTTAAACTTAATCTTCATTTAAAACTAATTCTTAAAAATCTTTAGTTTTAATTTTGTTTTTTTTAAACTAAATATCCTTGCTTGATTATTCTATGATTATGTAAATGATAATAAAATACCTTTAGAACTGAAATTCACTCTCTCTGTTTGGTCATTTTATTATTGAGTAGAAGGAGTAGCTTATGAATTTGCAGTAATTCTTATTTAAGCAGGTTTTCTATTTTATTATTAACTTCTTGACTTTTCAGCTAAGAATTATTAAATACTTCCAACAACTGTATATTTAATAATATTCCCTTTTGAATCTTACCTTGGTCCTTTTTCATGATCAGGTATTTTATCTAATAATTCCTTTGACCCACTAAAGAAATTTGAATGTGCTGCTTCAACAGCTACAGGAGATACATGAGTTAAGTATTAAGGTCTGACTCTAAAAAGATTCATTGTACTATCCTTACTTTCAATACCAAATTAGTTAAATTTTTTTAACATTTTTATTTATATATTATGTAACATCCTAGATCAACTTCAGCTCATTATAATACTTGTAATTCTTAGTACGGAAATGGATGGTTATTACATGAAGGGAAACAACAAATCAAATTAAATGAAACACCAGTACCTACTTATGCAGAAATTGTTAGAAGTATGCAAGTATTTACAAATACTATTTTTATGAAGGATTTTAGAAGAGCTGAAAAACTAATTAAGAATAAATTAGTAGCTCAATAATTTGGTTTAGAGGGTTAATCATAAGAGATAGAAAAAGAGAGATAAAGAAGAAAAATTGATAATAAGGTACCACCAAAACCTTTTCCAGTTAAAGAAAGCGAATATAAAAAACCTGATTAAGGAATTAATGTTGGTATATTAATCTTTTTTTATTTTTTTATGATAGGATTACCTATTTATGAAACTTCAAATATGCTATATGGACAATTAAACCCAACAAAATTTGAATTAATTGAAAAATTTTATCCAAGAGATGCTAAATTTTCTTAAGGATTCCTTGGACATACCTATAAATTTGATGGACTTAATACTAGTGTTGCATTCTCAAAAACTCATAAAGCATTAGATGAATACTGATTTAAATTATTATAGTATATTTTATAAGTCATAATATATATAATCATATAAATAATTATTAATTCACTTATTAAGGGGCATCAAAGTAATCTTAAATTTTATTAGACTTCATTAAATGTTCATACAATTTTCTAAATGATTCCTAAATTTCGGGAAATCTAATAGCTTTTTGAGAAATTATTTAGTAATTAATTGGTGAGTATATTGTGAGAGGATTATAAGGTGGACATTCATCCAAGGTTATAAATGGGTTTTATTACCTATACTAGATAATTTTTGTACCCATAAGCATCTATATAAATGCCTTCTCTTTAGGGATCAAATTAAGTTGCATACTTTTTTAAAAAATCAAGAAGAATTTATTTTTTATCATTTTAAGTATAATGTTTGCACATATAAATAGCAGCTAACATTATTGCTAAACAAAATGAAGATATTCCTCCTAAAATAGTTATTATAATAAATTATACCTGTGTAAGCATCATTTAGATTTTTTGATTTTAGCAAATACTTTAAAATTAACATTGTTTCTCTATACCAATAAAATCTATTAACCCAATCTTTTATAATTGTAGTTGAAGCAAACCCCAAATGAGGATTATTATATATGTTACTCCATTAATAAATCCATGTTAAATCAACTTAAATGATTTTGCCTATGATAACAGTTTAACATACCAGGATCTTATTCATCTAAATGAAAACTTTACCAATTTTATTGGATGTAAGCATCATCATTATAAAACTCAGTCTTAGGATTCAACTCTAATTTTAGTATTGGAATATGACTTTGTATTAATCTAATACTTTGTCTTATATTCATACTTTGACTTCACTAAAAATGGTGTCTATTTTAAAATTTAATTTATTGATTGTAAAAAGTTAACAATCTAAATGTAACTCAAAGTTTATGTTCCCCAAATACCTATATCAACATCACTTACTTCTAAATCTAATCCTGTTTCGAATGATCCATAAGCATATATATTAAGGTCTGAATTCATAAAAATTATATGATGTAATCTATTAAAACATATTCGTTTTCGTATTTTATTTTAAAAACTTTTTATTTGTATACTATTTATAAACTCGTCTATATCATGTGTTTTAGGTTTATTTAAATTTAATTGTTTACGCTTTATAGGTGTACTTTGTGAAGAATATGGATATTATTTGTTTCCAACTTTTTCTATGTTATTGTTATTTTTTTTTTTATATCCCCCCCTATTGCTTTATTTTTGATTACTTAAATCTTTTTGATTGTTATCATCCTACTACAATTAACAATCATCTGACTCTGATTAGGAATTTCCTGTTGTTGTACTTACAGCACCAATCTATAATATTTTTTTTTTAAATACATGTGTCAATTAAGCATCCAATTCATTTATATTATTCTTAAATTTTGGCTCTAGGTTCTCTATTTAATTCAAACTATGTAATATTTCTTATTTTTATTAATTTGTTTAGGATTTCATTTTATGAAAAAATTGAGGAGATATCTAATTACATTATTTTTCATTATTCTACTATTCGATCTAAGGTTGTTAATGATTCTACTTTTATGTTAGAGTTTAGTTTTTTTGTGTTTTTTTTTATTAATCAACTTTATTTTTTTTGTTCTTTAACTTTTTTTGTGATTTTTTGTTAGGTTATGAAATTTATTGAACACTAGGAGGCAACTAAAATTATTCAATATCATTTTAGTCTAAAACTGACAATTATAAACCTGATTATTAATCTTTTGGATTCTGTAATTCATGAATAATTTGAAGTTCTTCTTCAAGAACACTTAGAGATAAGCTTATTATATTTTTTACACAAGTGACTGAATCGAATTCATTATTCTTTCTTTTAAATTGTTACTTTTACTATAACTTAGAAAAGATGATATTTACATTTCTAACTATAGTTTCTTGTTACTAATAGTCGCATTCACTTGATATTTTTTGTTTTTAGCCTTCTTATTATCTGGATTTACAATGAAAAGTTTTTGTTCCTCTATTTGATTCATCCAAATTATTTTCACTAATCTGGAAAGATGCACTTTAATTTAACATATAAGAAATCATTTATTAATTTATTATAATCAATTAATGATTATTCATTAATCATTAAGAAATATAAATTCTATTTTTTTAATGGCTTACGTAATTTTTTGATTATAATAAGCACTAAATGTAACACAATAAACTTTAGAGATAAAAAATTATAAATAATTTCTTAAAAATAAAATAAGATATGAATAGAAATATATTAAAATCAATTTAGTAAAATGAAAGATTATTATATTTAAATGTTTGTCATTTAATCATGATTTTATATTTTTTGGATACTTCATCACTATTTTCAAAAGGATCATCAACTGTTGACAATCTTTTTACATATCCTAAGGTTGTATTACCGAATAGAAATGATCCAGATGATTAATGTTATGGTGAGAATAATTAAGTACTAAATGATGCTTTGCTTTTATTCTTAACTAATCTACCTCTAGCTGATTATATTTTTAATCTTTATTTAAATTATTCTAATTCATCTAACATTTTTTAATCCACAATTTTCCATTATGGTTCAACAAATTATTTTTCTTCTTAAAAATGATCATTCAACTTATAAAATAATTATATTTATTAAGTTAATCTTATGTAATCAGGAATTAATTCAATTACTTAAAAAAACAAACTAGCCTATAAAGTTTAAAAATCTAAAATAAATTGCATAATTATCCTATTAATAACAATAATTAGAACTTTTCAAAAAATAAGTAGATAGCTATCACATCATTCCACATAAGTAAAACAATTTCTCCTATAATATCTTCATGATGTTTTTCTAATGCTGATTTGATTATCTAATATTGAATAATACATTTAATACTGATGTATAAGTAAAAATAACAGTTAATAGATTGATTGCTTGATAATAATTAGATTAATTTTCTATAAAGCCTAAAATATAAATTAAGATTACTGTCTAAGTTGTAAATTCTTTACGATTTGGCCATTTTTAGTAAGTGTAGACCATTGCCGAATCTTTGTAACATTTCGAAATACAACATGATAAACTTCTCTTTGTCTAGGTTCTTCTCTCTAGAATTGATTATTAAGAGATTTACTTATAACGAAATCCATCCCAATCGAGAAGAGATTCAGAAAACTATTCACCATGAAGGAAATCATCTAAAAGAACATGACAAGTTGCCAAGATTTTGAGTTTTACTCTATATGATACCTTATCTGGTAGAGACTAAAAGAATTTCTAAAAAGTTTTCTTTATAGGTTATGGAGTACGGCAAATTAATTATTATTCTTACGGAAATCCTTACATGAGCTATTTTAGATCACCAATATTGAGAAAGGGTTTGTTGTTTAAAATTGAACTATTAAAAAGAGCTTTCTCAAAATCTGTTTATTATTTGAAGAATTTGCTAAACATTGTAAAAATAATAATTATTTTAAATATATAATTAATATTGTTTTATTTCAATTACCCTAATTAACAACAATTATAAATGAAAGGAATCTTAAATTAAATTAATTTGCATTACTAAGAATAAGCATATTAAGAATGATAATATTAATTCCATAATGTTAAAAGCATATTAAGAATTTCAGATTTAATATTTATAAAGATTGATGACTTCTTGACTTTATAATTCATCATTTTGATTTTTATATTAGTTATGAACCAAATGATATCTAAAAATATTGTTAAAATTATGTAGAAAACATCTTTTTAAATATAGAATGTATGTATTTTAATATTTTCTTTTCATGTTGATTGATTGTGTTGTTTAAAAATAGTAAAATAAATTGAACAGTTAAAAATATAGGATAATTGAAATCAAATTTGTTTAAACAATTAATTATGCTAAAATATTTGAATAACGTCATCTCATCATACTATAATGCTTATTCTGTAATTCTTAGGTTTACAAATCCAGATGGAATTGTTGCTCCATTATTATATTAACTGATATACATTTTTTAATTTTTTTAATTTATATTATGGATAAAAGAAAGTTGTTAATTGACAACAATTTGAAAAGTAATTTCTAAGATTTCAATTATGACTTCAAAGATAATAAACTCAAAATCAATGATGTTAAAAATACAGCAGAATCATTTAAAAGAGGAAGCGCGAAGTATTTCTATTTTAAATGTTAGATAACCATTTGAAACTAATGATAAATCCTTTGAATTCATTAACAAAACTAATTCTAGTTTGACAACCCATACAGAAAATGATATATCTTATTTTAGAAACAAAATAGAAGATTTATAATTTAAAGCTGACTCATTGGATGTTAAACTAAAGGCTAGAGATAAAGAAATATAACATCAACAATCTTAAATTAAAAAATATATTCATGAAATTCATTAGATTCAAATTATGGAACAAGATTATAAAGAATAAGTTGTTTCTATTAATAATGAACTCTCTTAATGGAAAGATAAATATTTTGCCAATCTCAAAGAATACTAATATAAATTGGCATTTCTAACAAGAAAAGCAGAATAAGACTTGAATCTCTAAAAAAAAAATTATGAAGAAATTTTAAATCAGAAATAAAAGGAGATTGAATAAATTGAGTTAAGGTTTGAAAATGAAAGGGATCATTTATATCAAGCTATCGAATTATAAAATAAACCTTAAAATATCAATAATGAGATTAATGTAATTTATTCTATAACTTTTTTTAGGAATTGATTACTAAATATGATGAATTAGAAACTGAAAATATGGGCTTAAGGGAAAAAATTTTAGTTTTTGAAGCTAATTAGGATGAACTCAAGTTTCATATCTAATAAATTTCAGGAAGATTATTGGAATAAGTAAATAAAAATGTTTAAGTAATTTTTTTATTCAATATATAGCTTGATTAATAAAAGTAATAAGAAATATAAAATTGTTAGAATTAATTACTTGCAAAAGATAAACAAATTAATAATCTTTTAATTTAGATTGAAGAATCAAAAAATGATGAATAATATCTTGATTAAGAAAAGTTGATGTAATTGGAAAATTTAAACAATTAATTAATTGAATAAAATTCTTAATTAGAAGATGAAAATTAAAAATTGAAAACTTAAATATCTGAATAATAAGAGCATGAAAATAATCTTAAACTTATTATCCAATAATAAAAACAGTAAAATTTAAAATTGTAATAAGAAAATAATTAATTTTAAGAGTAAATAAATTAATTTGAATATTTGCAAGTTAAAGATTCAAATTAAAAATAAAAAGAATAATAAGAACAAATTGATTCTTTACTTTTAAAATTAAATAAAGTAGAATTAGAATGTGAAGAATTAAGGCAATAAATAGGAAAATAAAATGATGAGTTAATTGAATCGTATCGAAAAGATATAAGAGAGAAGGATGAAGTCATTCAAGTTCAAGGATTAAATTAAAAAGAATTTGAAAAAGTTATGGCTCAATACAGAGTAGAAAATAAAGAATATAAAACAAAAAATGAACTTTTAATAAATTAAAATGAAATCTAAAATTTGTAAATTGAAGAGATGTTCAAGGATAAATAAATTTTATAGAAGCAGTTAGAAACTTTAGAAAATAATTATACTATTTAACTGCAATAGCTTTAAAATTATTAAATCGCTCTCAATAATTGTAAAATAAAAGAATAAAGTTACAATGAATAAATTGTGTATTTTACATAGTTGGAAGATGATAATTCAATGCTTTAGTTATAAAATTCTCAGCTAAAATAATAATTAGCTGATCTAATGGAAGAATTTAACCCAAAAATAAACTTATTTTAATAAGAAATTATCTAAAAGAAAGAATTAAATGAATTATTTCAACTATAACTTCATGAAAAAGATATATAATTAAAATAACTTGAAAAAGATTTATTTTTAATGTAAGAACAAAATTAGTAGCTTTTTGATAATAATTAAATTTTACAATAAGATATATCCAAACAACAATAAGATTTATCTATTTTAAAAACAAAACCAGATGATTTAACAGTTAATAGTATTGAAGATGGGAAAGAAGTTTTGATTGAAGAAAACTAAGTTGATTAACCTAAAAATGAAGAGCCATTAGAAAATTTAGAAGAAATTGAAAAAGAATTACAATTTTAAAAACAATAAAATGCAGATCTGAATTTTAAACTGAATAATGCATTATAAGAAATCTAAATTTTGTAAGAATAAATTGTTTAATCTTAAGAAGAATTTGAGACATAAATTACATAAATCAAGTAAGAATTGATCAGTAAAAGACTTTAAAATGATAAATTGGAACTAATATAAATGGATTATGAAAAAGTAAAAAATGAAATTGCTTTGCTCTAAAATTTGAATGAAATTAAAGATTAATAAATTGAAAATTTGAGGGCTAATATTTTAGAGGATGAAACTTAATAAGATTTCATTAATCAATAAGAAAGTTAAATAAAAGAATTGCAATACATAAAATAAAATTTAGAAACTGAGTTAGATAGGAATAAAAATGAGTATGAATAAGAAATAAATAAATTAAGAGAAGAAAGGGATTGTTTGAAATCAAAAACAATTGAAGCAATTTAACAAAAAGTAGTTTTAGAAAATTAATTACAGAATTTATAGGAAGAATTATTAAGAAAGCAAATAATAATAAATAGAATTGATCCAAATTAGATAGTTGAGCCTTATAAAAATGAATATAGTAGTAATTCTGAATTGAATAAAACACCAGATGGAAAGTAATAATAAACAGATGATGATTTGGAAAGAGACTTTACAAATAATTAATAAGAATATGAAGTATAAGTAGAAGATAAAGAGCTTATAAAGGAGAGAAAAAACTCTAATATTTTACCTTAAAATGATTAAGAGTTTGAGATCTTTGAATAAATCTAAATTCCTTAAGTTCAATCAGACTAAAGAGAATAAAATACAAATTCATTTAAAATAAGTTTGTAAAATATGGAATAATTACCAAATTAAGAAAATTTATAAAATTAATAATTCGAAGAATAAACAAGAAATAAGGAAGATTAAATCAAATAATCAAGCAAATAATTTGAAAAGCAGTGTGGTAAATAAGAAGAAGTACATAAGAAAATAGATTTAAAGACTTAAGATTTTTTTGGTAAAGAACTATCTCAAGAAGAACCTGCAAATACTTCATAAACATCACAAGAATTAGCAAATTATTTGATTAATGTAAAGTTTTATTTATTTTATAGAATGCCTTAAACGGAGCAATCTAATCTCTACTTAATATAAGTTAGTGAATAGTTAATGTATATTATATAAAACTTAAAATCTGCTCAAATATAATCGAAATAAGTATAAAATAATTCTGATTCTTGAATATCGGATTTATTTATACAATTGAAATTAAATTAAATGATTTAGAGATTCTATAAAAATATTGATCTTAAATTTGTAAATCAAATAGATAGATTTTGCAATTTCTTTAGATGCTTAGGCTTTCTCTTTGAAATGCTATATGTTTTTTATCACCTAAGGATTTTTATGCTTAAATTTAAAATAAATTTAGGTATTAAAATGTTAATCTCCTAATAGAAATATTATAAAAATTTAATGTTTAAATCGATTAATGAAATATATAATTAAAGATTCGTTATGAGAATAAGATGAATTAAGTTTCGATTGAATTAGAAATATTCTTTTTAGAATTGATTCACAAAAATGATAAATAAATAATAATTAAAAATAAATTATAGATTAATAGATTATAGTCAGATAAAGAATATATTATCTCCAAGAAATATTATATTGTTGTCCTTAAATATAACAAATAAATCAGCAACAACTGTCCTATTTTTTGGGTTTTTCTTCTTAAGGTAATGGAGTTTGTAAATATTATTGGGGTTATGGTTTTCTTACTTTGCCTGCTAAACCAGTTTCTTAAATTGATTAAGTAAAAGCTTGAAATGCTGCTTCAACCTAGCTTATAATAATAATGAATACTTGATCACTTGTTTTAGCACTTACTTCAAAGAATTTTAGATTATATTCTTTGGCCAATTCTTCAGCCATAGTTGTAGTTACTTATCTAGATTCATCAGTTGCTAAATCATTTTTATTTCCCAAGAGCATCAACAACACATTTTCATCAGCATAATGATTGAGTTCATTCATCCAATATTTACGGATATCTTCAAAAGACTTTAAGTTTGTGATATCATAAACAACAACAATTCCTTATGCTCCTTTGTAATAAGAGTTGGTAATATTTCTAAATCTTTCCTAACCAGCAGTATCCCATATCTACAATTTAACTCCTTATCCATTAACCCTTAATGATTTAAAACGAAAATCAACTCCAATAGTACTCAAATACATATCTCTGAATTGATCATCGCAGAAACGAATTAACAATGATGACTTTCCAACTGCACTATTACCAACTATGACAATTTTGTATAATTATTCCTCCATTTTTAAATTATTATTTTACAAGAATTCATCNCAATTGAAATTAAATTAAATGATTTAGAGATTCTATAAAAATATTGATCTTAAATTTGTAAATCAAATAGATAGATTTTGCAATTTCTTTAGATGCTTAGGCTTTCTCTTTGAAATGCTATATGTTTTTTATCACCTAAGGATTTTTATGCTTAAATTTAAAATAAATTTAGGTATTAAAATGTTAATCTCCTAATAGAAATATTATAAAAATTTAATGTTTAAATCGATTAATGAAATATATAATTAAAGATTCGTTATGAGAATAAGATGAATTAAGTTTCGATTGAATTAGAAATATTCTTTTTAGAATTGATTCACAAAAATGATAAATAAATAATAATTAAAAATAAATTATAGATTAATAGATTATAGTCAGATAAAGAATATATTATCTCCAAGAAATATTATATTGTTGTCCTTAAATATAACAAATAAATCAGCAACAACTGTCCTATTTTTTGGGTTTTTCTTCTTAAGGTAATGGAGTTTGTAAATATTATTGGGGTTATGGTTTTCTTACTTTGCCTGCTAAACCAGTTTCTTAAATTGATTAAGTAAAAGCTTGAAATGCTGCTTCAACCTAGCTTATAATAATAATGAATACTTGATCACTTGTTTTAGCACTTACTTCAAAGAATTTTAGATTATATTCTTTGGCCAATTCTTCAGCCATAGTTGTAGTTACTTATCTAGATTCATCAGTTGCTAAATCATTTTTATTTCCCAAGAGCATCAACAACACATTTTCATCAGCATAATGATTGAGTTCATTCATCCAATATTTACGGATATCTTCAAAAGACTTTAAGTTTGTGATATCATAAACAACAACAATTCCTTATGCTCCTTTGTAATAAGAGTTGGTAATATTTCTAAATCTTTCCTAACCAGCAGTATCCCATATCTACAATTTAACTCCTTATCCATTAACCCTTAATGATTTAAAACGAAAATCAACTCCAATAGTACTCAAATACATATCTCTGAATTGATCATCGCAGAAACGAATTAACAATGATGACTTTCCAACTGCACTATTACCAACTATGACAATTTTGTATAATTATTCCTCCATTTTTAAATTATTATTTTACAAGAATTCATCATCTATTTATTACATATCATTCTGTCATTATTCATTTCAATTATTTTACTTAAAAATATTTAGATAATAGAATCTTAATCATTTGACTCCGTCAAATTTCTATAATAACTCATTTTCAGTTTCTTTTTATATATTCAATCAATACCCTCATATAGAAAAATCTTGAAAGCTTAATCAAAAAGAAGACAATTTCATGTCTCCAAACAGAATATTATCAATATTTTAAATTTATTAAAAGTTCTATATGAAATTTGACAAAGATAAATTTATTTATTTTTTATTCATTTATATAAACATTCCATAAAATTTAGTTTGATTTATAGAATGGAACACTTGATATTCCATTTGCAGTTGGCTATTTAGATAATAATCAAGAAAATTTATAAAAGAATTAGAATGCCTTTCAACGAATATCAGTCTATGTGTAAAAGATTGTTTAATATTTTATAATGACTAAAGCACCTCTTAATATATAAACCAAGATAATTCTCAAACTAATATCAATAAGTATAAATTAAAGCAAATACTTATTAGATAATTTCCATAATGGGCAAATAATCAAAATACATAGTCAGAAATATAATGTTAGTTTTGTAAACGTCTAATAGTAATAATAAAAAATATAGAATAGGTAAAGGCGCATTAATTTGTTCACTAATTTTTATTTTCACCTTTCCAATATTATTCTGGTTACCTTGTTGTAAAGACTCTTGTTAAGATATTGTTCATTTATGTCCTAATTGTGACATACAATAGGAAAAAAAATATATAAGCAATGTTCATGAGTTACATTTGATTTTTTAATTATGCCTAATTTTAAGTTTCAGTTTAAATATATATTATCATATTCTTAAGATCACATTTTTAGATAATAGTTGAATCTTAAATTTAGATTTTGATTTAAAGAATATATATATTTCAATTAAAGGGTACAACTAGATATTAATTAGATCAAAATAATTAATAATCTCAAAATATTTGTTATTATTATTATCAGAGTTGTTTAGAATTTATGAGCATTCAAAATCAACAACTTTAAAGATTAATCAACAACACATATATAACAAAAAAGAGAGTTTCAGCTGGATCATTCGGGGTAGTTTATTGCGGATAGGATATAAATACAAGAGCAATTGTAGCAATTAAGATTGATAAGGGAAACAACGATGACACAAGTTTAGAAAGAGAAGTAATTCTGAATTTACAAATTTAAAGGCAGAAATACTCAAAAGATTACAAAAAATACCTTAAATTCCAAAATTATTTTGGGCAGGAAAAGATGGTGATTCAAATGTTTTAGTAATTTAATATTTGGGAAGAGACCTTACACATTTTATGAAAACTTTTAGAAAATTTTCTTTGAAATGTGTATTGAATATTGCTGAATAAATGATAAACATTATAGAGAATATACATAAAAAGTAAGAGCAGATTTGTTTTATTTTTAGTAAAGTCTTACATAGAGACATCAAACCAGAAAATGTACTTGTTGGTAAAGATGATGAAGAGAATTTGCTTTATATAGTAGATTTTGGTATAAGCAAATTTTTTAAGGATGAAAACGATTCTCATATGTAAATTTCTTAAAATAACTTAGTTCATTTCGAGAGAACTAACCATTTATTGGTACTACTAGATACGCAAGTATCAATGCACATAAAGGATTTTCATTAAGTCGAAGAGATGATTTGGAATCATTAGGCTATATGCTCATATTCTTACTAAAGGGTATTATTTAATTCAATTATTTTTTAAGGATAATTGCCATGGTAAAATTTACAATTTGTAGATGAAGAAGATAAAATGAGATAGGTTGGTCAAATGAAAATGAAAATAGACATGAATGAATTATGTAAAGGAATTCCTATTGAATTTGGAAGATTCTTAGATTACATCAAAGGATTACCTTTCAAATCAGAACCAAATTATAAATACTGCCAAAATTTATTTAAGAAATTATCATAGGAGCATAATTATTAATAAAAAGATTCTATATTTGATTGGGATCTCGGCCCAAAATCAGAGAGATAAGATGATAAAAAAAAATAAACTTTTGACGGACATATGCCAAGTAGTTCAAATAATAGCAATTTAGTTAATAATAAACCCTCTTTGTATAAAGTTTTAATTATTCTAGATTTAAAAAATCAAAAGATGATATTTCTTCAAATAATATTGGTGGATCATTATTAAATTATTCTCAAGAATAACTAGAAATGAATTCTCTACTTAAAACTCCAGAGTAAAGAAAATCAAGTTTGGCTCCTGATATTAATAGGAGAAAAAGTAGAATGCAATCTGTTAGTAGCTACAATGATTCTCATTCAGAAATAGATTTTAATAATGGAAGTGTCATGCTAGGAATTTAACCTAGTATGTTAAGTAGGTTGAGCAAGATCTCATTCAATTCGCATTCAAGGGTTAAAGATAGCAAATTAAATTTAAGTTTAACTCCTGAATAGAAAAGATCAAATTTACATGATAAAAAATTATCAATTACTCCTAATTCATATATATAATAAGTTGCAGGATAAAAATAAAAAACATTAATTAGGAATTCGAATTCTTAATAAAAACTATCACTTAAAAAGGAGGAAGAAACCATAAAAGAGTTTTCAAAAATGAATGAAACAGATGAAGGGATTGAACGTAAATATATGCTTTTAAAATAAGCATCAGTAAATGCGTATGTAAATTGTACTTACCATATTGTAGTCGCTTCAAAAAATCAATAAATTGACAGTATCCAGAATTTTTAATTTATTTTAATATGTTTTAATTAATATCTAATAAATGCTTAATTATTCAACATTATACTAATTAAAATTTAGGCTCTACTCATATGCAAAATATAAAATATGAATAAAAATGTTGAAATATATATCTTACTTTTAGATGTAGGCATTTTAAATATTTTAGGAAAATTTATGGATCTAGTGAAATTTCTATTTTGATTCTTTGTTGATATATAATATAATATAATATAATATAATATAATATAATATA